TTTCATTTTTTCACCAAATATGCTTGTGGGCTTACGAAAAGTTCGATTCAAAGTGCAATTTCTCATTGCACCGATGGCCAATGAGGGGAAGGGAGGTTGCGTTAGAATCGTGTGACCGAGAGGAACGCCATAGAGTTGGAATTTACAAGAAAAAAGGTCTCTAAAGAAATTTCATTTTTTCACCAAATAGGCTTGTGGGCTCACGAAAAGTTCGGTTTAAAGTGAAATATCTCATTGTACTGGTGGTCAATGAGTCAAAGGGAGGTTGCGTTGGAATCATATGACCGAGAGGGACGCCATAGAGTTGGAATTTGCAAGAAAAAAGGTCTCTAAAGAAATTTCATTTTTTCACCAAATAGGCTTGTGGGCTCACGAAAAGTTCGGTTTAAAATGAAATATATCATTGTACCGATGGTCAATGAGTGGAAGGGAGGTTGCGTTGGAATCATATGACCGGGAGGAACGCCATAGAGTTGGAATTTGCATGAAAACAGGATTCTAAAGAAATTTTATTTATTCCCCAAATAGGCTTGTGGGCTCACGAAAAGTTCCGTTTAAAGTGAAATATCTCATTGTACCGGTGTTCAATAAATGGAAGGGAGGTTGCGTTGGAATCGTGTGACCGAGAAGAACGCCATAGAGTTGGAATTTGCAAGAAAAAATGTCTCTAAAGAAATTTCATTTTTTTCACCAAAAAGGCTTGTGGGCTTACGAAAAGTTCGGTTTAAATTGAAATATTTAATTGCACCGATGGTCAATGAGTGGAAGGGAAGTTGCGTTGGAATCGTTTGACCGTGAGGAACGCCATAGAGTTGGAATTGCAAGAAAAAAGGTTTCTAAAGAAATTTCATTTTTCACCAAATTGGCTTGTGGGCTCACGAAAAGTTCGGTTTAAAGTGAAATATCTCATTGCACCAATGGTCAATGAGTGGAAGGAAGATTGCGTTGGAATCATATGACCGAGAAGAACGCCATAGAGTTGGAATTTGCAAGAAAAAAGGTCTCTAAAGAAATTTCCTTTTTTCACCAAATAGGCTTGTGGGCTCACGAAAAGTTCGGTTTAATGTGCAATTTCTCATTTCACCGATAGCCAATGAGGGGAAGGGAGGTTGCGTTGGAATCGTTTGACCGTGAGGAACGCCATAGAGTTGGAATTTTCAAGAAAAAAGGTCTCTAAAGAAATTTCATTTTTTCACCAAATAGTCTTGTGGGCTCACGAAAAGTTTGGTTTAAAGTGCAATTTCTCATTGCACCGTTGGCCAATGAGGGGAAGGGAGGTTGCGTTGGAATCGTGTGACCGAGAGGAACGCCATAGAGTTGGAATTTGCAAGAAAAAAGTTCTCAAAAGAAATTTCATTTTTTCACCAAATAGGCTTGTGGGCTCACGAAAAGTTCTGTTTAAAGTAAAATATCTCATTGCACCGATGGTCAATGAGTGGAAGGGAGGTTGCGTTCGAATCGTATGACCAAGAAGAACGCCATAGAGTAGGAATTTGCAAGAAATAAAGTCTCTAAAGAAATTTCATTTTTTCACCAAAAAGGCTTGTGTGGGCTTACGAAAAGTTCGGTTTAAAGTGAAATATCTCATTGTACTGGTGGTCAATGAGTCAAAGGGAGGTTGCGTTGGAATCATATGACCGAGAGGAACGCCATAGAGTTGGAATTTGCAAGAAAAAAGTCTCTAAAGAAATTTCATTTTTTCACCAAATAGGCATGTGGGCTGACGAAAAGTTCGGTTTAAAGTGAAATATCTCATTGTACCGGTGTTCAATAAATCGAAGGGAGATTGCGTTGGAATCATTTGACCGAGGGGAACGCCATAGAGTTGGAATTTGCAAGAAAAAATGTCTCTAAAGAAATTTCATTTTTTCACCAAAAAGGCATGTGCGCTTACGAAAAGTTCGGTTTAAATTGAAATATTTAATTGCACCGATGGTCAATGAGTGGAAGGGAAGTTGCGTTGGAATCGTATGACCAAGAAGAACGCCATAGAGTTGGAATTTGCAAGAAAAAATGTTTCTAAAGAAATTTCATTTTTCACCGAAATAGGCTTGTGGGCTCGACGAAAAGTTCTGTTTAAAGTGAAATATCTCATTGCACCAATGGTCAATGAGTGGAAGGAAGGTTGCGTTGGAATCATTTGACCGAGAAGAACGCCATAGAGTTGGATTTTGCATGAAAAAAGGTCTCTAAAGAAATTTCATTTTTTCACCAAATAGGCTTGTGGGCTCACGAAAAGTTCGGTTTAAAGTGAAATATCTCATTGCACCGATGGCCAATGAGGGGAAGGGAGGTTGCGTTGGAATCGTTTGACCGTGAGGAACGCCATAGAGTTGGAATTTGCAAGAAAAAAGGTCTCTAAAGAAATTTCATTTTTTCACCAAATAGGCTTGTGGGCTTACGAAAAGTTCGGTTTAAATTGAAATATTTAATTGCACCGATGGTCAATTAGTGGAAGGGAAGTTGCGTTGGAATCGTATGACCAAGAAGAACGCCATAGAGTTGGAATTTTCAAGAAAAAAGGTTTCTAAAAAATTTCATTTTTCACAAAATAGGCTTGTGGGCTCACGAAAAGTTCGGTTTAAAATGAAATATCTCATTGCACCAATGGTCAATGAGTGGAAGGAAGGTTGCGTTGGAATCATATGACCGAGAAGAACGCCATAGAGTTGGAATTTGCAAGAAAAAAGGTCTCTAAAGAAATTTCATTTTTTCACCAAATAGGTTTGTGGGCTCACGAAAAGTTCGGTTTAAAGTGAAATATCTCATTGCACCGATGGCCAATGAGGGGAAGGGAGGTTGCGTTGGAATCGTTTGACCGTGAGGAACGCCATAGAGTTGGAATTTGCAAGAAAAAATGTCTCTAAAGAAATTTCATTTTTTCACCAAAAAGGCTTGTGTGGGCTTACGAAAAGTTCGGTTTAAAGTGAAATATTCTCATTGTACCTGATGGTCAATGAGTGGAAGGGAAGGTTGCGTTGGAATCATATGACCGAGAAGGAACGCCATAGAGTTGGAATTTGCAAGAAAAAAGGTCTCTAAAGAAATTTTTTTTTTCACCAAATAGGCTTGGTGGGCTCACGAAAGTTCGGTTTAAAGTGAAATATCTCATTGCACCAATGGTCAATGAGTGGAAGGGAAGGTTGCGTTGGAATCATATGACCGAGAAGAACGCCATAGAGTTGGAATTTGCAAGAAAAAAGGTCTCTAAAGAAATTTCATTTTTCACCAAATAGGCTTGTGGGCTCACGAAAAGTTCGGTTTAAAGTGAAATTTCTCATTGCACCGATGGCCAATGAGGGGAAGGGAGGTTGCGTTGGAATCGTGTGACCGTAGAGGAACGCCATAGAGTTGGAATTTGCAAGAAAAAGGTCTCTAAAGAAATTTCATTTTTTCACCAAATAGGCTTGTGGGCTCACGAAAAGTTCGGTTTAAAGTGAAATATCTCATTGCACCGATGGTCAATGAGTGGAAGGGAGGTTGCGTTGGAATCGTATGACCGAGAGGAACGCCATAGAGTTGGAATTTGCAAGAAAAAAGGTCTCTAAAGAAATTTCATTTTTTCACCAAATAGGCTTGTGGGCTTACGAAAAGTTCGGTTTAAATTGAAATATTTAATTGCACCGATGGTCAATGAGTGGAAGGGAAGTTGCGTTGGAATCGTATGACCAAGAAGAACGCCATAGAGTTGGAATTTGCAAGAAAAAAGGTTTCTAAAGAAATTTCATTTTTTCACCAAATAGGCTTGTGGGCTCACGAAAAGTTCGGTTTAAAGTGAAATATCTCATTGCACCAATGGTCAATGAGTGGAAGGAAGGTTGCGTTGGAATCATATGACCGAGAAGAACGCCATAGAGTTGGAATTTGCAAGAAAAAAGGTCTCTAAAGAAATTTCATTTTTTCACCAAATAGGCTTGTGGGCTCACGAAAAGTTCGGTTTAAAGTGAAATATCTCATTGCACCGATGGCCAATGAGGGGAAGGGAGGTTGCGTTGGAATCGTATGACCGAGAGGAACGCCATAGAGTTGGAATTTGCAAGAAAAAAGGTCTCTAAAGAAATTTCATTTTTTCACCAAATAGGCTTGTGGGCTTACGAAAAGTTCGGTTTAAATTGAAATATTTAATTGCACCGATGGTCAATGAGTGGAAGGAAGTTGCGTTGGAATCGTATGACCAAGAAGAACGCCATAGAGTTGGAATTTGCAAGAAAAAAGGTTTCTAAAGAAATTTCATTTTTCACCAAATAGGCTTGTGGGCTCACGAAAAGTTCGGTTTAAAGTGAAATATCTCATTGCACCAATGGTCAATGAGTGGAAGGAAGGTTGCGTTGGAATCATATGACCGAGAAGAACGCCATAGAGTTGGAATTTGCAAGAAAAAAGGTCTCTAAAGAAATTTCATTTTTTCACCAAATAGGCTTGGGGCTCACGAAAAGTTCGGTTTAAAGTGAAATATCTCATTGCTACCGATGGCCCAATGAGGGCAAAGGGAGGTTGCGTTGGAATCATATGACCGAGGAGGAACGCCATAGAGTTGGAATTTGCAAGAAAAAAGGTCTCTAAGAAATTTCATTTTTTCACCAAATAGGCTTGTGGGCTCACGAAAAGTTCGGTTGAAAGTGAAAATATCTCAGTGACCAATCGATGGTACAATGAGGGGAAGGGAGGTTGCCGTTGGAATCAGATTACACGAGAGGAACTGCCTATAGAGGTTGGAATTATTGCAAGAAAACAGGTCTCTAAAGAAATTTCAGTTTTTAAACAAATAGGCTTGTGGGCCTCACGAAAAGTTCGGTTTATAATTGCAATATTCTCATTCGCCACCGATGCCAATGAGTGAGGAACGGTAGGGTGCTTGGATGCGTATGACCCATGAGGAAACGGCCATAGAGTTTGAATTTTGCAAGAAAAAAAAGGTCCTCTAAAGAAAGTTCATTTTTTCACCAAATAGGCTTGTGGGCTCACGGAACGTTCGGTTTAAAGTGAAATATCTCATTGTACCGAATGGACGAGAAGCAGAAGCAGCGGCCCGTTGTTGAAGAAGACCAGGTGGCGGAGGAGCAAGATCGGAGCAGCGAGAGCGGCGGCGAGTACACGTCGGAGGACGAGGGGACGGAGGATTACCGGCGGGGCGGGTACCATGCGGTCCGGGTCGGCGATGCTTTCAAGAACGGGCGGTACGTGGTACAGAGCAAGCTCGGCTGGGGCCATTTCTCCACTGTCTGGCTTGGTTGGGACACTCAGAAATCGGTAAAAGCTCTTTGCTTGCCTTTGATTTTTGGTCGAAAGGTGGCTGCTTTAGTGGATGATTGTGCTGATTTATGGGTTTTGCTGGTTTCGCGGGAGTTTGGAGTTTTCCCGGGAGTTGACTCAGCATTTGTTCTTGCTAAAACTCTGTTGCCTTGTTCTTTGGATTCTGGGTTTTAACTTTTAACATGCTTATGATGAGAAGTAATTTGCATTGTGATGGATTTAATGTGTATGTTTTCTGCAACTTGTAGCAGTATACATCGATAGAGGTCATAGAGGGTATTGAGTTTCATTGCTTTTTCTCTCTTTACTTTGTCCAACCAATTATATACTTATGTACGGTTGCTTCCTTGTAATCCTCTTGCTGCAGCGATATGTAGCCCTCAAAGTTCAAAAGAGTGCTCAGCACTATACAGAAGCTGCCATGGATGAGATAACTATCTTGCAACAGATAGCAGAAGGAGACCCAGAGGATCAGAAGTGTGTGGTGAAGCTCTTGGATCATTTCAAGCATTCAGGTCCGAATGGACAGCATGTCTGTATGGTATTCGAGTATCTAGGGGATAACCTTTTGACTCTTATTAAGTACAGTGATTATCGTGGACTGCCCATTCATAGGGTCAAGGAGATATGCATCAACATTTTGGTGGGGTTGGATTACTTACATAGACAACTTTCCATTATACACACTGATCTAAAGCCGGAGAACATATTGTTGCTATCAATGATCGACCCCTCGAAGGATCCCATAAAGGCCAGGACTCCTCTCATTCTTCCAAATAGTAGGGACAAGGGTTCAGTAGAGTCTGCCGTCTCGAGATTAAATGGCGACTTGACTAGGAATCAAAAGAAGAAGATCCGAAGGAAGGCTAAACGAGCAGCTCATGAATGTGTGGAGAAGGAAGCTTCTGAAGCCGACATGGACCGTGAAACATCTGCAGCAGTGGAGGAATCTTCTACTGCTAGAGGAAAACCAAGTGTCAATCGACCATCTGATTCTCTTGAAGCAAAGCGGGCCATTTTAGAAAGGCAGGGTAGTAAAAGGGGAAGCCGCACCACAAGACAGAACCTGCTTGCATCAGCTGATCTCAAGTGCAAATTGGTGGACTTTGGGAATGCTTGCTGGACGTACAAACAGTTCACGAGTGATATTCAGACTAGACAGTATCGCTGTCCTGAAGTCATCCTTGGATCGAAATACTCTACTTCGGCCGATCTTTGGTCTTTTGCTTGCATATGTTTTGAGCTTGCAACCGGAGACGTGCTCTTTGACCCTCACAGTGGTGACAATTTTGACAGGGATGAGGTAAAATTTTGACATAGAGCTGGATCCTTGATCTATGATAGATTCCTGCTCATTAGTATTTGGCTGCTGTAAGTGACATAGTTAGGCAATAGTAGTGTACGTCCAATAGGCACTTCATTTCATATATAGGCTATGGGGAATCATCTTTGCTTTCCATCTAGACAGAATATACCCTCACAACCCAATTTTGACCATAAGGAGGAAAACAACCTAACATGTCCGAAATGATGAATATGACCCCACAATTCAAATTCTAGGGTCGGAAATGAACCGATTTTCAGAAACCGTCTCGATTTCCATCCATCATTTTCCATAATACTGCTTTGTAGTGACACTAATGCTGTGTGTCTACTTAAGTTCTACTACCAAATAGTGAAAGTCCCTATTCTGGTTGCTACTATATCTTCCTCTCCTAACAGAACCATCAAAGTTGGGCTATTTTGCCTTGTTCCTATTACATTTTATCATAATGTTACACACTTGCAATAATATATCAGTCCCCGAAGCATGTGGAATTGGAAGGATATTGGTTTCATGAGGAGATAGATAGATTTCCGCTGCATTATGGTTTCCCTTAGCTCTTGTCAATGTGTTTACGGTTTCATATTTTACACTTGCAGGACCATTTGGCTCTAATGATGGAGCTGCTTGGAATGATGCCGCGCAAGGTGAGTTGGATTTTCATTTATTGTTGCCTAGTGAGGTACTTAACATTGCAAGTCAAAGCACATTTGACTTAAAGAGATTAACTACGATTCGTGCAGGTTGCCTTAGGTGGCCGCTATTCCCGGGATTTCTTCAACAGATTCGGTGATCTGAGGCACATACGCAGGTTGCGGTTCTGGCCACTGAACAAGGTTCTTGTTGAGAAGTACGAGTTCAGCGAGAGAGATGCAAGTGAACTGACGGAATTTCTGGTTCCCATACTTGATTTTGTTCCCGAGAAACGTCCGACTGCTGCTCAGTGTCTTCTTCATCCATGGATCAACCGGATCCTTGGTAGTTTAGAGCCGAACCAAGCTCAGGAAACCCGGAATTCCGAAAAGAAGAGGGACAAGGATGAGAAAGAGGCCATGGAGATTGGTATGGGGAAAATTGCTATCAATGCGGATATGAATGCTGCTGATTCTTCCAAAGGTCTGAAGGTCGTGAGCCCCTTATCTAAGTAGGGTTATGCACTGTATTATCTACAACAGAGCGCAACAGGAAGCCCGGTTCTTGTGCAGCTCCGGATGGGATAATGATTTTTTGGACAGAGTTGGACGGACATATTTCTCAAATTCAGGGTTGGGGGAACAATTGTTCCCTGCAAGAGCATCATTGAAGTTTGTATGCCAATTATCCTTGTACAATTTGATGCTGGAAAACTGTAGGCATTCTCAGTAAAATGAACCTGCCTTTGTCCACATTTGTTTATGTTGTGACATTGGGACCCTCCAAGTACATTTGTTCTTCAATCCTACACCATTCTTTATTTCTTTTCGGGGGAGAAGGTGCTGGGCTGCTGGCCCTTTCTAATACTCTTTTCTCTCATTTTCACTGTTCTTAGTTGGACTCCATTTCCAGGCCCGACCCGACCCAACAAGATCTCTTACCGGATGATGAATAACAGTAACAGCTTCTCTCTTATGTGACATACCAAGTTGGCTTTTGGCTGTTTACATGAAGATAACGCCAGCAACACAATACAAGTTACTAACGTCCTTATGACCCCAAGAACGGACAATGAAGATAACGTTGGAATCAATATTTTGATAAGTTCTTCTTTGATCTTATCTATTCAATAATTTTAAATGATCTTAAAGTGTTTCGAGTTATTAGAAAGAATCATTTCATAACACGAAAGCAGGAAAATTGTTTCACCAAATAGGATTCTCTTCTGATATGCAGATTTGGTTTGATTGCAACCTGGAAATGGCAATGAATGAAATATTGAGAAGATGGCAAGCTCAGTTTTGGAGATGTACACGAATTGCTTTTATTATCCCCATTCACGGGGGAAAAAAGAAACCATGTGGTGGCCGACAGAGAAACCAGAGCAAGAAGAACAGTGGCTACCATACAAATATTTGGCAACGTGTACTTTCTGATATGAATGAATGCCCTCCATTCCCCCAATTCCTTGGACTCATCCATGAAGCCTCCTTCCTAGCAACTATTTCCTTCCCTAGGCCTCTTTCTTACAAGATATCACGGTTGTTTGGACATGGAATTTTGATGAAAGATGATCAATAACCTACTCGCGACTTTATCATTGTTGTTTTATTGATGGGTCATTCATAATCATTATCTATCAGCAAGATGACTTTGATGTGTCTTCTTGAACCAGATCAATAGTTCTCTTTAACTTGTCTACTTCTTTCCTAGAACTTCATAGTAATAAAGAATTGTTTAGGATAATCAATCTCTGGTAATGGTGAGAGTGTTGGGTTAAAGAACTCAGATGTCAGATTCAGATCCAACAACCCACCAATCATGATCTAATAGCTTGATTGATCCACATTTGCAGCATGATGATAGACATTATCAAACTAAATTTCTAAGAAGTCCAAAGGTGGAACCAAGGCAAGGACATGAGAATTGACAGTTAATTATTTCAAATATTTTATGCAATGAGGAATTTGTCCGAAGGTGTCAGCCAGGAACTGACACTCATGAATAGGAGAGACATCTAACACAAGCTAGCTGCACAGGAGGAGCTGGTCAACTAGATGTTGACCAGCCAATATCACTATAATGCTCAAACGATCATTCTGCTTCTTATTTCTTTACATGCCATGGCTGCATTCTGCTTCTGGGTTTATATGCCAACGATCATTGGCAGCTACAGAAACCCAGAAATCCCATGAATTCATGGTTGTGTATCATAGTTATGCTCTTCTCAGTCCCAAAAACCCCTGCAGAGACAAATTGATAAGTTTCATCAGTGAAAAGGAAGAGTGCACTTGCTTTCTTTTGAACCCCATTTGTGAAAAGAATTTATGGGTTTTGAGTGTAATTAATTACCCATTGTGAGAGCACTAGCAAAGATGACACCAGAGAGAATGAAGACAATGATTGAAGCCCTTCCAAGGAATGCAACAATCTTTCTCACAAAGTATTGGCCCCAGAAACCAGCTAAGACAGATACTCCCATAAGGTACACGGCTGCATGATACCAAGTAGTTTTTTAGTTGGTTCAATGGCTTGGGAGATTGAAAGAGACTATAGCCTTATGGTCAAGGAGGGAGAAATGGGGGGAGGAAATTTACCATAAGGTATGGGGAACCTGTTGAGAAGGTAAAACTCCACCACAGACAAGGATGAGGAGAACATCATCACAAATGTTGCTGTTGCACTTGCAACCTATTGAAAGGAAACAACCAGTCGTATCAGCTTACTTCGGTTGAAATCTGTATGGAAGACTAAATAGGTATGGTTTTATCTCGATTGCATCATGGGATATTAAACTTTAAACTAGTAGTTCAAATGGTTCAGTATCTGGTACGGTTTCACAAATCACAATCATCAGTGGATGTGTGGAAAGAGATGATTGGAATGATTATGATACCTGAGGGATGACACCAATCTCAAGCAGCAAGGGGCCTAGGATGAATCCACCACCAGATCCCAACAATCCACCCACAGTGCCTCCAAGAATTCCACAAAGTGCACAGAATGCAATATTCAATGGTGTCCATGCAATTGAAGCCTCACAGATACATTCTGTGTTCCCCACACTCGACCTCTTCTTGTATTCTTTGTATAGTTTCACTGCTTCATAGCCAAACACTCCCATGGCCACGGGGAGCTGCAGCAAGATAAACTCAAAGGTGTTCACTTTTTAGCCTTCACAAGAGCATTTGTCCCAAAACCAAGAAATAAGAACCGAAAAAGGTAAGAGAAACCTACAAACCTGCAAGCAAAAGATCATCCAGTATGCAGTGCCACAAACTGAGACATCATTCTGCAAACAATATATAGAAGGCCTGATGTTTAAGTTCCTAACGGTTGGGACTGAAATAGAGACAGTGGAAAAGAGGTAGTACCTTGATGACTTGGAGAAGAAGGAAACAGAACCAGAAGCCTCTTCCAATTCAGGTTCAAGCAGAATACTGCCTGCAATAGTTTAGAAAAGAATGCAACTTTAATATCGACATATAACAGCGAAGAGTTGAATCAAACAGGACATAGTCAGGCGGAGAAAATGCTAACCCATTTCGATTTCTCTTCTTTGGGTATCAAAGGCTCGAAATTGGTATCAATCAGAACTGCAAAGCACATAATAAGATAAAAAAAGAACTATTAAGCCATGCAAAGTGCCTCGCAGTCACATAGCAAAGATTAGCTGAAAAATGAATGTAGGACCAGATAAGACTTACGTTCACCACGAGAATTGACTAGTGCCTCCTTTCTATCCGCTATTTCTGACTGCAACAACTTGACATAAGTTCCAAAATTGGGTATCCACATCATATTCAGTTAAACAGTAACAGTTGTTTTTACCTTCAAGTATGTTTCCTCCTTCCACATTTCAGTAGCCCTGTAGAAAGATCTTGAAGAAGTTCCTGTACAACAAACGTTCAACGCATGAATTCCTAAAGAACTTGTCAGTAGGGGGAAATGGAGTTTGTTTGTGAACTACAGATATCAATAGTAGATTAGCCATAAAGAGTATGATGATGAGAACGGTGATTAGCCAGTAAGGGAAGACAACACTCAAGGAAACTCCAACAGTAATTAGGGGTGGCTATACGGTCCGGTCCGGTTAAATTGGCCCAAATTGATCCGGTCCAGTCCGGGTTTTTTGAAAATATAAGGACCGAAGATTGGATTGGATACAGTCCGGTCTTGATCCGGTCCGGTCTTGACCCGGTCCGGTCCCAATTCGGTCTTGGTTTTATATTGAGATTGTGGGAATTTGAGTGGCCTAAGGCCTAAAAGGGTGAGGAGTTGGTTAAGTTTTGTACTAAGTGCAAAGGTTTGTGACCGTTTATGCAAATTACCCTTAAGTTTTGGATGTTGAGCTCTCTTATCCGGTCTTTATCCGGTTTTTTACCTCAAATCTAAGCCCAAAAATTGGATTGGATTGTTTACTATCCGGTCCCGGTCCGGTCTCGGTCCGGGTTATACGGTCCGGTTTCCGGTTTTTCATCCGATCCCGGTCCAAATAGCCACCCCTAACAGTAATGCCAAGCATTAGCATGGGTTGGAACAGAAGAGCCAAGTCGTAGTCCAAGATGGGCACTTCTTTAATTGGATGAGGAACTTGTAGATTATACCACACAGATGATGCTGATGCCCCCATAATCATACCTGAAACCATTAAATCTGGGAGTTGCTAAAGGTCGACCTAAAAAGAATCAAAGTTACACTTTTACCCCCTTAGCTTCTTTACCTTCCCTTTATCAAACAAACACCACTTGGACTAAAAAAAACACTATCTAAGAAGAGAAAAATCCATCATCGTCATTTTGAAGCCGATATCGTCGGAGTAGCGACTCCGACGAGGTAAATACATTAACTGAAAAACGAAAAAAAAAGGGACCGCAAATGACCTGCGGTTGGACCATGGCTGGACCGCAAATGACCTGCGGTTGGACCAGTCATTTGCGGTCCAGCCATGGTCCAACCGCGGTCAGCCGTCGGTTCAACCGCGAGTTGACCGCGGTTGACCATCGGTCTAACCGCGGTTTGACTGCGGTCGGCACGTTTTTTTTTTTTACCTTCTTCTTCTCCGACGAAGCCTTCTTCTCCGGCGAAGGCTGCTGCGCGGGTGGGATCGCGGGAGTTCGGCACGATGGAGCGAGGTGCAGAGGTCGCCGACGGTTGGCGACGCGAGGTGGCAGGCAGTTGCAGAGGGTGATCGGCGCGATGGAGGGAGGTGCAGAGGTCACCGACGGTTGGCGACGCGAGGTGGCAGGCGGTTGCAGAGGGTGATCGGCGGTGAGTTGGTGAAGAGGGAGTTTCAGAGGGAAGGGAACGCAGGAGAAGGTTTAGGTTTAGGGCTTGTTTGTTTCTTTCAATTTTGATTTTTTCATTAAGGGTATACAGGTAATTTGACATCTAAGTTAGGGCGATGTTTAGCAATTTTAAGGACGACATTTAGCAATCCAGTTAAATCTCATCAATCAACTGCCAATAATCAATCTCAGTAAAGAGGAACAGGAAAGAAAGAATAAACAATCACAAAACAGAATCAACAGAAGCCACAAAAAGAGGAAAAGAGGATTCGGTTGGGGAAAAGTGCTCCCCCTTTCCTTTCACATTTTGGCAATGTGAGGGGGTAAACAAGTGGGGAAAAGTGCTTCCTTTTAGAAACTCAAACCCTTGGCCATTTTTAAACAGAACGTTTTGGATCTGAGCAGAGAGTGGCGTACGGTAAGGAAAAGAAAAGCTTTACATTTGGAAATCGCAGCAGCCGATTTTGTGTCGAATCCAACGATCAAAGTAAGCACGGGAACGAAAATCCCCCCTCCTCCAACTCCACCAACTGTCCCGCATGCCGATCCAAGAAATCCTATCACTGTCGCCAGTACTGACCTCCAGCTGAACTCCAACCTCTGTAGCCCACCGGGAAAAAAACACAGCAAGGGATTAAAAGAGAGAGAACCTTCTCCGGCAAAATGTCAAACACATGGCAAGCAACTCGCTCAAATCGTTGAACGTACCAGCCAAACTTTATCAGTGCTGCCATGTATAGCTGCAGAGTTCAAAAGACTGGAACTTTTCGGGGTTATGGAAACAGGGTCTGCGATGAAAAAGGCAAAGACGACGGCGAGTGAGAAGTGTTGTGCCCTCCTCATGTGGCGGAGAAGCAGCCAACAAGGCTGGGTGGTAATTGAGGGAAAAAAAACAATAATGGTAAGATGCAGGTGGCAAATGCAGTTGGATGGTGAATGGATTAGCTCCCCAACCATTCCAATTGAATATGTCCCCTCCATTTTATGCTATAAAAGGGATGCCTAGTTCCTTTCTGAAACCATCCCTCACCATTCCATCATTCTCCATTTCCTTTGCTCTGCTTTTGTTCGTATTTCTTTTGTGGGTTTTTGGTAGTGAAACGTTTTCACTACCACGGGTAGATAGGAGATTTCCTTGTGAGTGAAATAGTGAGGTTGTTTGGGAAACACCGTGTGTTCTATTTCTTGTATCGAGAATATCTCTGTAACCTACCATTGTTAAGAAATACTCCAGAGCTGCTGTTCCCGTGGACTGGCCCAAAATCAGGGTATACCACGTAAATCCTCGGTGTCATTTATTATTATCTATGCTTGTTGTTATTTTGAGAATAGTCGTAGTATATTACATTATTAAATTACTTAAGTAAATTGATCTAAGTAAGTTGGTTACCGTAATTCTGGAGGCTCTGCCACCAGGTCCAACTTATTTGTGAACTTTTTACAAGCGTGTGATTTCTTAGTGCAATATATTTGTCCGCTATTCTCACCCGCTCCGCCCAACAAGTGGTATCAGAGCCACGTCCAATGGAGGCAAAAACAAGCAAGATGATAAGTCTGAATGGCTCCAACTATCACATATGGAGAAACAAGATGAAGTATCTCCTACTCGTGACGGAGTTGCATTTGCCGGTGTTTAGTCCAACTAAACCTGATGGCAAAACTGAAGAGGAATAGGAGTTCAAGCATGAGCAAGTATGTGGCTACATTCGACAGTTCGTCGACGATAATGTATACAACCACATTAGCGGAGAAACTCATGCCAGAACTCTGTGGAACAAGCTGGAGGCACTCTATGCATCAAAGACCGGCAACAACAAATTATTTTATCTGACCAAGTTGGTCCAGATGAAATACAAGGAAGGCAAATCCTTGGCGGATCACTTGAACGAAATTCAAGGGATCGTGGATCAGTTGTCCGGTATGGGCATAAAGATGGAAGATGAGGTGGTCGCTCTCCTCGTTCTGGCTTCCCTTCCAGAATCTTGGGAGACACTAAAAATTTCACTTACCAACTCTGCGAAAGATGGAGTTATCAACATAGAGATCGTCAAAAGTGGGGTTCTGAATGAAGAGATGCGGAAAAGATCACAAGGTGCATCCTCATCATCTTCCCAGTCAGACCTTTTGGTGGTGGATTCCAGAAGCAGAGAAGAAGTGAAGCGAGAGGCTCGAAGCAAAGAAGCAAGAGTCGAGGGAAGTCCAACAAGTTTGCCAACATCAATTGTCATCACTGCAAGGAAAAGGGCCACATCAGAAGATTTTGCCCAAAGTTCAGAAACGAGAGAAGGAAGGGCAAACGAGATGAGAACAGTGATGATGATGGTGCAAACTCTGTTGATGAGTTCAATATTGTCTACGAGGAAGATGTTGTCAACCTAACAACCCAGGAGACAAGCTGGGTGGTTGATAGTGGTGCTACCATTCACGTGACGTCAAAGAGAGAATTTTTCTCATCTTACACACCGGGTGACTTTGGTGTGGTAAGAATGGGAAATGGCAACCTTTCCAAAGTTATTGGAAAAGGAGAAGTATGCTTGGAGACGATGAATGGTACGAAGCTACTGCTGAAGGATGTCAGGCATGTTCCAGAAATGCGCCTGAATCTCATCTCTATAGACAAGTTGGATGAGGAAGGTTACTGTAACACCTTTCACAATGGCCAGTGGAAACTCACCAGAGGCTCCTTGGTGTTGGCCAAGGGCAAGAAGCTGTCAAAGCTGTATGTGACGGAAGCCAAGATCTCCCCAGAGATTGTCAACTCAGCGGAGAATGGTGACACAATTGAATTGTGGCACAAACGGCTCGGTCACATGAGTGAGAAGTCCATGGCAAAGTTGGCCTAGAAGAAAGTCATAGTTGGGTTGGATCATGTTCATCTAAAGAAGTGTGTCGATTGCCTTGCGGGAAAGCAAAACCGAGTTGCTTTCAAAAGTTACATCCCTTCAAGAGCAAAGAACGTGTTGGATCTAGTTCACTCAGATCTCTGTGAACCCGATGTCAACGTCAAATCACTTGGAGGTGCCAGATATTTCGTGACATTCATTGATGACCATTCACGGAAGACTTGGGTGTATACCTTGAAGACCAAGGATCAGGCCCTAGACGTTTTCAAGCAATTCCTGGCCCTGGTGGAGAGGGAAACTGGGAAGAATCTGAAGTGCATCCGGACTGACAATGGTGGAGAGTACAGAGGTCCGTTTGCTACCTTCTGCAAGGAACATGGAATTCGACAGCAATTCACACCACCAAAGACACCGCAATTGAATGGGCTAGCTGAAAGGATGAACAGGACCCTGCTAGAGAGAGTCAGGTGCTTGTTATCACACTCGAAGCTACCACAATCTTTCTGGGGGGAGGCACTGCTTGCAGCAGTTTACGTGTGGAACAAGTCACCCAGTGTGCCACTGAAGTATGACGCCACAGAGAAGGTGTGGACAGGAAAAGAAGTTTCCTACAAACATTTGCGGGTGTTTGGTTGCAAGGCCTTTGTCCATATTCCAAAGGATGAAAGGTCAAAGTTGGATTCAAAGACGCGACCGTGCGCATTCATTGGCTATGGTCAAAATGAGTTTGGCTATAGATTCTTTGATCCAATCCAGAAGAAGCTTATCAGAAGCCGTGATGCTGTGTTCATCGAGAATGAGACCATCGAAGATGTTGTTGCTAGGAAAGAAGTTCCTAGTACTGATGCTAGCCAGCCAAACCTTGAGCCAGTGCCTCCAACACCAGCGCCTACAGAAGTTGGAGAAGAAGTACAACATGATCAGCCTGAGATAGTTGAACCAGATGCCCATGTGGAGGTTCAACCAGAAAATGCTGATGACGACGGTCAACCACCAGCCATAGAAGGTTCTCCTGTTCGAACAACAAGATCTGGTAGAATTTCACGACCGTCTACCAGATATCCCGAGACTGAATACGTCTCACTTACTGACGGCGGAGAACCAGAAAGCTTCACAGAAGCTATGAATGATGAAGACAAGCAAAGGTGGATAGAAGCCATGCAAGACGAGATGGATTCCTTGTATGAGAACAACACATTTGAGCTGGTGAAGTTGCCAAAAGGCAAGAGAGCTTTGAAGAACAAGTGGGTGTTCAAGATCAAACATGATGAACACAATCGTCAGCCACGCTTCAAAGCCAGACTAGTTGTGAAAGGCTTCAGTCAAAGGAAAGACATTGACTTTGACGAGATATTTTCACCTGTGGTGAAAATGACATCCATTCGTACTGTGCTGGGACTAGCAGCAAGTCTTAACCTGGAGGTTGAGCAAATGGATGTGAAGACTGCCTTCCTTCATGGTGTTTTGGAGGAAGAGATTTACATGGAGCAACCAGAAGGCTTCAAGAAGAAGAACAAGGAGGGCTATGTGTGCAGGCTCAGAAAGAGCTTGTATGGCTTAAAGCAGGCACCAAGGCAATGGTACAAGAAGTTTGAGTCTGTTATGGGGGAGCAAGACTACAAGAAGACTACTTCAGACCACTGCGTGTTCGTGAAGAAATTTCTCGATGGAGATTTCATCATACTTTTGCTCTATGTGGATGATATGCTAATTGCTGGGCAGAACGTCTCAAAGATCAATGATTTGAAGAAGGAGTTGAGCAAGTCTTTTGCCATGAAAGACTTGGGACCAGCAAAGCAGATTCTTGGCGTGAGGATCATTCGGGATCGAGGTGCCAAGAAGATATGGTTGTCACAAGAAAAGTACATTGAGAAAGTACTTCAACGTTTCAACATGGATAATGCTAAGGCGGTTAGCTGTCCTCTTGCTAACCACTTCACATTGACATCCAAACAGAGCCCGTCTACTGATAAGGAAAATACGGAGATGGATAAAATTCCATATGCTTCAGCAGTGGGAAGTTTGATGTACGCCATGGTGTGTACAAGGCCAGATATTGCTCATGCAGTTGGAGTTGTCAGTCGGTTTCTTTCCAAACCAGGAAAGGAACATTGGGAAGCTGTGAAGTGGATCCTCAGATATCTTCGAGGTAGCTCCAAAATGAGTCTATGTTTTGGAGATGGTGAACCTGTCATTGTTGGCTATACAGATGCTGACATGGCAGGTGATGTTGATTCGAGGAGGTCCACTTCTGGGTACCTGATTACCTTATCAGGGGGAGCAATATCGTGGCAGTCAAGGCTACAAAAGTGTGTAGCTCTTTCCACAACAGAAGCTGAGTATATAGCAGTAACGGAAGCATGCAATGAGATGATATGGATGAAGAAGTTCCTGAATGAACTTGGGTTCCTACAGGAACAACCGCAGCTGTTCTGTGACAGTCGGAGTGCTATTCATCTTTAGAAGAATGCTTCATTTCATGCTCGCTCAAAACATATCGATGTTCGATATCACTGGATACGAGATGTGCTTGAAATGAAGCAGTTACAACTAGAGAAGATCCATACTGACGAAAATGGATCTGACATGTGTACCAAGACTCTTCAAAGAGAAAAATTTGAGTTCTGTCGATCAGCTGCAGGGATGATGCCGCCGCCCATGTAGTCGGGCGGGGGAGAATTGTTGTGCCCTCCTCATGTGGCGGAGAAGCAGCCAACAAGGCTGGGTGGTAATTGAGGGGAAAAAAAAACAATAATGGTAAGATGCAGGTGGCAAATGCAGTTGGATGGTGAATGGATTAGCTCCCCAACCATTCCAATTGAATATGTCCCCTCCATTTTATGCTATAAAAGGGATGCCTAGTTCCTTTCTGAAACCATCCCTCACCATTCCATCATTCTCCATTTCCTTTGCTCTGCTTCTGTTCGTATTTCTTTTGTGGGTTTTTGGTAGTGAAACGTTTTCACTACCACGGGTAGATAGGAGATTTCCTTGTGAGTGAAATAGTGAGGTTGTTTGGGAAACACCGTGTGTTCTATTTCTTGTATCGAGAAAATCTCTGTAACCTACCATTGTTATAGTAAAGAAATACTCCGGAGCTGCTGTTCCCGTGGACTGGCCCAAAATCAGGGTATACCCCGTAAATCCTCGGTGTCATTTATTATTATCTATGCTTGCTGTTATTTTGAGAATAGTCGTAGTATATTGCATTATTAAATTACCGAAGTAAATTGATCTAAGTAAGTTGGTTACCGTAATTCTGGAGGCTCTGCCACCAGGTCCAACTTATTTGTGAACTTTTTACAAGCGTGTGATTTCTTAGTGCAATATATTTACCCGCTATTCTCACCCGCTCCGCCCAACAAGAAGGCCGTCAAGAGGTAAGCCACTAAACCTGTACTGCTGCTACCCGCCATTGGCGAAGGCTTGAAAGGACTCAAAATTGTCGAGCGGCGGAAAGGGGAAGTATGGAATGATTGGGGTCCTTTCTTTCTTAATGGTTTTGGACGCCCCGGGAAGGAAACTGCTCACAACGCCGCAATGGCGCCCTGCGCCGAATATATATGGTGCAAAATTAGCGAGCAATTATCACACACCAATCGGCGGAAGGGAGATTATTGATGGAGACTGAATGAGGTGAATGTTGGACACGTGGACTCTAGGTATTGGTCTAATTAACGCCCTAGATTTTTTAAATTTTGTCGCCCTAACTAGTCAATCTGACGTTTTTGCCCCAAAAATTTCCAATTCCTAACAAATTGTCGCCCAGAATTAACACACGTCGCCGCCGTCTGGGAGGGCTTCTGGGAGTCTTCGGCTACTGGGAGTGCTAATCCTATGAATAAAAAACGTCAAAATCGACCTAGGAAATTCTCGCGGCGGCTGGGAGTGCTGCTGGTAGTCTTTGTCGTCGCCGAGTGTTGCTATCACCGACCTAGGGATTTCTCGCGGTGGCTCGTCGACCCTTTGTTTTGGTTTCGATACGAACGTTGAGGGACTTGATCCTGGTGGAGAGAATTCCGGCGAGGCAATGTCAGGGATTGAAGAAGTGAAGCCCAACCGACAGTCGACGAGAGGTTGATGAAGGAGTGTCGACGACCAGGCTTCACTCTCCCTCCTCAACCGCGATGAACCAGACCGCGACGATCCGTCTTCTTCCTCCTCCTTCCTCGACCGCGAAGAACCTCGGCGCGACGGGTTCCTTCTTCCTGCTACGAAAACCATCGATCGGCAGACGGTTGAACCCGGCGATTCAGAATCCATCAGTAGCAGAGACGGCCGGTGGGGCGGGATTTGTTTCTCTCATCGGTGGAGCGACAGTCCTGGCGGCGGAGACGGGGCAGAGCGAGCAGGCCTGAAAGTAGAGCAGTCGATTTTTTTTTCTTCAACCAAGCAGCAGAGCAGCTGCGAAGGTTTTCGTCAACCGAACAGCAAAGCAGCAGGGCGCGATTCTTCAGCCGCCTGTGAATTTTATCAGCCGGATTTTTCTTCCACCGGCAAGGGATTAGGGCGATGGGTCGGGGGGCGAACGTTTGAAGTAATGGGGGTAATATTGTCTGTTTGATTAATTTAGGGTGACAATTTTAAAAAGTTAGGACGTTAAATAGGAATCCAGATTTATTATCCCCTTCTTTAGATTTTGGGAAGATTATATCATGCAACACAAAATCGGGTGTCTATTAATAAAAAGTTTCTTTCTATACCCCAACTCAATGATTTTTTTTTTTTTACAAAAGATAATCATATATTAAGATCAAAGCAAAGATAGTTACACCCTGGAAGCCAGCCAGGTCTGAAAATCAAAAGAGCGACATGCAATCGGAAACAAAGACAGGGCTTTTCTAGCTACGACATGAGCTACCCTATTGTTATGCCGACCTACAAATCGCAAACTAAAACCCGGATTCCAACCAAGCACTTGAATAACTTCTTCCAGAATAGCTCCAACTTGGTTATCCCGAGTATCACGCCGCAAAATCTTCTCAATCACCACTTTGGCATCGCCTGCAAATTGCATCTCCATAAAACCGAGGTTCCTGACCCACAACACAGCCTCACGAAGAGTAAGCAACTCCGCCAGCAATGGATCATCTAAGCCGTCAAACTGGACCCCCTTAGTTAGCCAAAAGTACTTCCCTAGCAGGGGTCAATATCACCATCCCCCCTGCCGCGTGTGATGCACTTTTGGTAGCCCCATCCCAAAGACAAACTGCCCCATCCCCCAGGGCAGGGGGTGGAGAGGCTGCCCCCGAGACAGTGGGTGAAGCATTATGAGGCAAAGAAATCCATTCCCAAAGCTGCTGCTCATACTGTCGTTTCAGTGCCAGCATCCCAAACTGCTTCCCCTCAAACACCACCCAGTTCCGAGACCGCCAAATTCGCCAGAGGAGCGAGACAATGGCCATAACGACTGATGGGTGGCTCACCCTACCCCAACTCAATGATAACTTGCCTAATACGGTGAATTTTTTTGTTGGAATGCTCTCAATACGGTGAAAATTTAATGGTAAGTTTTTTAATTTTTCCGAAAATAAATTATTTAATTTTGTCATTTATAATTTTAAAAACCTCTCAATCAATCCTGAAGGATTGACCTAATAGTAATGTGGGATGAGAACATCTACCACACGATATATTCGAATTTTAAGGTCAACAACAATCTAAGAAAAAGTCTCCCAAATCTCAATCCTAACATCTTCCGTCCATTAAAGTTTGCCCGTATTTGGGCGCACCGCAATATTTGAGGGAGGCTATTCTAACATGCATACAAATGTTTTGCAAGTACATCCATGGAAACGAGGTCATCAAATAATAAGAGTTGTTAATGCATGCATTTTCACACTAAAATAAACCAAATCCGGTAAAGCAAATGAGGCCTACTAAGCAAGCTAAGCCAGTTTTAGTAAAAGATAAAAATGGTGTTCATGCATTTTAATTTGTAGCCGGTAGGTAGAAATAGAAACAAGAGGGGGGCAGCTAGCACGTACGTACGGTGGCGCAACATGACTGACGGCCGGCCCGATCGTCCTATCGGACCGGTGATGTGGCACGACTCGGCCTTACTAACAGCCGCCCAAGCCCAACGATAACAAATTTGTTTTGTTTGCCAGCTTGGTCGAGCAAACGTGGGGAATTTGGTTTTTGCTTTTCCTTGTATCCCGTTTTTTCCTTTTAGGTCAAATACACTTTATAGTCAAAACTTTGATGTTCGCGACAATCAATGCAGTTAAAAGTGCAATTCTACCCAGCGGCGAATCCAGAACACAGTAGCGCACTGGGCCGCATTTCATTAGAAATTAGATACCGTAAAAAGGATAATGATTTTATATTTTTTTTTACAATGTCAATTGTTCACGATGGTGTTTTAATTTAGCGAATGCATCAATAATGGAGTCTACATCCATACCAATAGTATGCTTTGTTTCAAATAAAATACTTGAGCAACCGGCGAGTAATTCATCGCTCATTTTGTTGCGCTAATCAGTTTTCACATGTTTCATTGTTGATAAGGTCATGTCGTAGTAGCTGTTGAAACGGACAGCGTCAATACTAAAATCAATCGACTAATCAATTGTTTCGACGAAAATCTTTAGGGCTAGAATTTATAAGCTAAATTTAGAGTAGTTATTTGAATATGTTCATATGAATTATTTTTCTAGTTGCACACAATTTTACTATAAAATAACACTGAATCGAATGTCTAAAATCAAAAAATTCATAAGGACTATACTAACTTTGGATCCAGAGGAGGGCTGGGCCGGGGCCTGGGTTGGCCACCCCCTGGATCCGCCAATGTTCTACCTAGAAGTGGAAAATGGGTAAAATCGTAAAACGTAGAATCAAAGCGTAAAAGCGTAAGTTTTTTACGCAACCTCTACAATAGCTAAAATGTGAGTGTGTAGATTTTAGATAAGTGAATAACTACATGAAATTCATAATTAAAATGTAATATCTAACACATAAACTAATTTGTGTTTGACTCAAAAGTAGAGAAAACTCATATCTTAATAATAAGCTCATAAATGTAGATCGTAACCCGTAAACGAGCTTGAGAATCCAAATTCTCACAAGCTGGTTTGAGTTTACATAATTACATACGATCAATTACCCATAAACTTTTATCGTAACCCAAGTAAGAGCCACAAGTGAAGATTAAGGAAGAAGACTGATAGAAGGTCAGCGACTGTTGAAAATACCATTAGGTGTCTTTTCAACCTAATGTGAAGCCCCTATCTCGACACTCGTTGTAGAACGATTGATGAATCATGTTTTTCTTTTTTGCTGATACGTCTCCAAATTACATCATTTTGGGTCAATTAGCACATTTTTATGAGAGGATCAAAATCGTATAAAAACGCTTCAGAATCGCGATTTTACCGATTTTACCCATGTCTTTACCAATTTTTGTGACTAAGCGACTTTAGGTAGAAACTGAAACGTTTTGGTGGCCTGGATACGTAAAAACGTAAGTTTTTACGTTTTAATGCGCGATTTTGACTGCATTTGACTTCACTGGTGACAATAATAGCCACTTTTGAGGAAATACCAAAAATAGCCAAAAATTTGAAAGTTCAATGACAATAATAGCCATTTCCGTTACATAGTTTAATGGCGTCAGTGACACCGTTAGTCAAATTAACGGAATGATGATCTGGCTGCCAACTCACCTTTTCTTTCTTTTCCACCTCAGTATTCACTGACAGAAGGACGACACGTCATTTACAAAAGTAAAAAAAAACTTTGGAAATGTGTTATATTTTTTTATTTATTAATTACATAAATAAACAAAAACAAAAGAGATGAACTCTCCATCTCTTAATCCCTTTTTCATCTTCTCTGATCCAACTCCCTGCCTCCAATTTTATCGATCAACGAACCAAGCGACCGACAAACCCTGCTTCTCCAGATCTGATATGTCTTCTCTGGTTCTTGTTCTTCGACGAACGAAACCCAGCCACAGACAAGCTGAAAACGACCACAGCCAGAACTTTTACCTTCAACACCCTGCCGCTTCTGTTCTCAAGTCATAAGAGAAATGGGGAAATCAATATAGAGAGCGAAGGAGAAGAAGAAACCACCGTCCCCGCCTCCGCTGTTCCTCGTCATCCACGCTGTCGCAGCTCAGCGCCGTCCCTACATGAAACATCACCTCCGACGAACCACTTTCCTCTTTTGCCTTCCGCCGCCGCCGCTAGTCGCTTCACCAACGTCGCCCCTTCGTCCGCGTCGCCTCCGACGAATCACCTTCCTCTTATTCCTTCCGCCGTCGCCGCTAGCCGCTTCCAGTTTCACAGATCTTGAACAGCCCCAGCCATCGGAAGCAAATAGACGTGGACTGATCTCCCTCTTCATTGTCGTTGACTCCAAAGTCGAGACCGGCTCCACGATTTCTTCAAATCCTTTCATTCAAAAATTCCACCACCGCTCGAATGACCTGGGATTGGACCTGGAAACCCAGTGTTCGCCTATCCCTCACTCAAAAACTGGGGAGATTTGAAGAGGAAACTGAAATCGTGGACAAAAATTAGGGTGATTGGAGTTGGGGATTTTAATGGTGGCGATAAAATTGGCCAAGGAAGAGTGGATTAAAGGAGGTGAAGGGAGCGACAAATGGAAAAAGAAGGTGGACGGAGTGGGTCGAGAAACCTGGAAACCCAAAATTGAAAACCCCATTTTAGTTGATTGATTGGTTCTCAATAAAGAAATAATTGTTTTTATAATTGTTTTTATTAATTTGATTATTGTTTTTCCTCAAAACAAAAGGGGAAAGTTTTTATTGTTTTCGTGAAAACCCCATTTTATTAATTTGATTATTGTTTTTCCACCTAACATTATTTTTGAATAAAATATGCCACGTCAGCCTCTGTTGTTAGTCCAGTGAGCACGTTAACTAACACCGTCAAACAATTGGACGGAAGTGGCTATTTCTGGTATTTCGCCAAAGGTGGCTATATTTGGCAAAAACGTCAAAGTTTTGGCTATACAAGTGTATTTGGCCTTTCCTTTACTACAACTCGATATATAATATAGGTAACGACATTAGCTTAAAGAATCAATTTTAGTGACCAATTTGATTCCCACATATGGTGATAAACTTGGTAAATACTAATGAGGTATGGCGGCCGGCCAGTACCCCAAATGTAAGGTAGGTGGGTACCTCTTGCTCTTGGGTTGAGTACACCCCTCCTGCCATCCAAAACTCGATCGGTCCGTTCCCCCTCGCTTGCAGATATTAAAGAGTATTATTCCCAAAGACACAACCCCTACTGTGCACATAGACTGAGATTACTATTCATTTAGACCTAAATTTACTATACAGTCTCCCCTGATTGGTTGTTTACCTGTGCGTGGGCCCGATGGCTTTTCTCATTGCGTTGTGTTTGGGCCAGTAGTGTTTTTCCCGTTTTTTTTAGCTTGGACCGGATCTTCTGCGTGGTGCTTTGCAAAGCTGAGCACATTGCCCACGGAGCAGGTTAGAGATCCTCCTCTTTCTCTGGCTTGTCTTTTCACGCAGCCCTCCTCCTCTCTCAGCTGTCGTTTGATACGACCTTCCACTCTCAAACATGGAAAAGATGGAAAAGGGGAGAGAAGATGGAAAAGGTTCTTTAGCAGCTTCTTCCTTCTTTGTTTTCGAACCACTCTCCTCCTCCTCTCACTTCTGCTCTCTATTAAGCTTTCTCCAATGGCGACTCTATGCGCCTTCGATTGTGAGCTACCAGTGAGCAACTAACTGCTGAAGTCATGGGTGTCATGGGATTCGGGTTAGTTTCCGATCTCGAAGCTTATGTTTCGTTCTCTCTTCTCCTTTTTCCGTATTGATTTACACAAATCCTGTAGGGATTGACGGCAGCCGGTGATTTGAACTTGGTTTTTTCACGATGGGTCGATGTTGGAGAAGTTGCGCTTCGATTCCCTGAAGTCTCTCTCCCCGTCTCACAGCCCGCGCACCAATTTTTGGGGTTCTGCTCGATTCATGGTGAGATTCAATTTGCCTGGTTTCTTTCCTCTCTCTCAGTGTATCTATGTCTCTCTATGATTGGTTTGGGTTGCTTTTTTCAGATATGCTTTTGGTTGTACCATCTTCATCGATGACCAGAGGCTGCTAGGTTGAGTGGCGGATTTGAGTGGTTGTTGAAGAAAGCCAGCCTCCTCCGCTGCAAATCTCTGCACTTATTCAAATACCCTCTCAAGAACGGCCGCACCAGGGGAATGAAATCGCCATAGTTATACTCAAAGCTCTGCGCCGGCCGACTCCTCTCTGAATTAAACCTCGTCGCCTCCACGAACAGAGGATCATCCACCGACTCAAACCCAACACCAAACATCATCATGTACATTATGTTGTACAGCATCAGCTGCAGCCTCCTCCTCACCACAATCCCTTCTCCTCCCTTCTTCCCCTGCTTCCCCAAATCGCGGACCACGGAATCCATCTCCTCCTCCCACATCCCGCCGTAGCTCTGCACGACCCTGTTGGTGAAGAAGGGCAGGGTCATGATCCGCCGCATCTTCCGCCAGTGGTCGCCGTAGACGGTGAACACCATGTCCTGGCCGCTCCTCGTGAAGAGGAAGATCTGTCGGTTCCGGTGAGCTTTCGATCTCAATTTTATCAATTTTTGTTCTTTTTTTGGAGACTGATTCCCTCTATTTTGCTTCCAGATCAAATGTTATCGTCGTCTCCGCCAGAGATATCAGCGAGGTTGTTTCCTCTCTCCTCGATGGATCCGATTCATATCTTCTCGACTCCAGCTTGAGGGTTTATAGTGTTACGATCTTCTATTCATTCTCAGGCAAGCTTTCTTCACGGTGTGCCCAGCTGCTGCGATTGACGGGAAGACAAACCCAGCTGACGCGATTGACGGGGAGCGGCTGCTTCGAGTGAGTTTTGATGTGGCCTTCTTTCTCTCTCGCAGTCTCTCCTCATCAGCTAGCTCTTCATCTCTAATTTTCAATTTGTTTTTCTCCGTTCTTTTTGCGCTAGGGATTGACGGGAGTCCGGTCACCAGCGGTGGGTTTATACGCCTTCTCCACGATCTGTAGAAGAAGAAACTGCTTCTGTAGTTTTGTGGGTCAATTTGTTTTTTTTTTATGGTTGACTTCTCCTTTTTCATGCTTTCTTCTTCTCCTTCTCGATGAGTGCTCATAATGCAACGATTTGTCTCACTTTGTGACCCAGAAAAAGGATGCAGAGGATGGGGCTGACTATGAAGAAACCTGTTGCTGCTGCGGGGATGGTTAAAGAAGATTCAATTGGGAGGAGAAAGGAACGGAGTGGCAACGACTTTGCACCCGGACTGTGCGGGTATTGATCCACCTTGCTTGCTGCGCTTCTCATTCTTTTGTTTGTTTTGTTGTTTCTTTTTTCCCCTGCTGGCTTATTCATGCCATTTTTGGTACCTCTTGGTTTCCAGTGTTTCAAAGAGCTATGAATCCTTTGGCCGGACTTGAAAGGGAGGGAGACTCCCTACTCGGGGAAAAAACATCAGATGGGCAGAGGAGGCTATTTTTATGCGGCAAGACTCTTTAGAAATCAGCTTTACTATTTTCACTTCATTTGAAATGCACTCAGTTGGTTTGGTCTTCATTTTCTGTACTTTTTGCACTTTGGACCTCTCTTTCATTAGTTTTCCTGTTCATTGATGTTCTTTAGAGGCTACATTCTTTGGGTACAATGAATTTCTACAGGGTAAGAAATGTGTTCGCTTATAAAATGGGGATTGAAAAGGTACAAGTTGGGGAGGGGGTTTGGTAGGTTTGAAGAACAGTAGAAAAGGGGGAAAATTACTCTTCGTCCATCTTGATACCAACTTAACTTATTAGTGAGCCAAACCTTGAGAAATTGACTACTAGTGTCTCCAGGAGATTGGCCACAAGGATTTCGTCGCAAGGCAAGAAGGACGAAGAGGAAGGCTAGATGCGAAAGAGTCGAACTGCAGGCAGGCATGAATACTAACAACCATCATCAACCTCATCAGGTCATTCTTCAGCCGCAAACGCCACCACCAACGCCGCTGCGTCTGCCGCAGTACATTGTTGTTTCCCATTAGAGCACTGCAGCAGAAGATCAAAGAACTGGTCATGGAATCCCCCGCTCATAATTTCGGTGGTGTTTGCTACAAAGGTGAATTCTCCCCTTCTTTTAGCTTTGCAAGTTGGTTTTGTGTTTAATTCTAAATAGGTCAAAATTGATTATTAATGTAGTAACTGTGAAGTTCAATGCTTTCTTATGCTCAAGGTGGGTGCAGGGAATTCATCTATAGGTCTTAGATAGGCTATTCAATTGAACAAAGCATTAGGTTCGGGTTGCTATATACATCATGATGCTATTTGTGGATTCCATCCTTCATGACAAATTGGCATATTGAATTTGATAATTGTGGATTGAATTGAAGGGTGGGGCAGTGCAGCTATTTCTTCAAAGGAAGGGTCCGCAGCATCTTTTTGAATGCAGATAAGAAGGAAGCATCTTTTGTATATGTATGATGGGGAGATAATTATTTGGTATTTGTGGTTTCAGGCTGTCTATCCACGGTGGAGAAGAAGAACCATAACAGATGGTGACTAGATCCTCGACGGGGAAATTAGAGTTCCGGTGAGATCTCGAACTCAACTTTTGTACCTTTCGTTCTCATGATATCCAGTTGGTGATTCCTTTTCCTTCCCTTGCACTTACAGATCTGCTGGAAGTCTTGATTGGTTGAGTATCCGCCGCAAAATCGTATTTCCATCGGAGAAAGTGAATTGGATAGATCGGTAAAGGTTAGTCACCCTCCTCTATTACTCCATTCCATCTCTTTTTTCTTCTCCCTGCTCCTGTTATCTATCCCAGTACGCTTTCTGGTCTAACTTTTGTTTGCTCCTTTTGAGGGCAGTCCTGTATTATGGAGCTGAAAACTTGAGAACGATACAACAGGTGCTGGAAATCACGATGATTGAACAGCTGGGAAGGGCCATAGATTTGAAGGTAGGAGGGTTGCAGTTTTCCCATTGATGCTCTGTGTTTTGTTAACTGCATGGTGTGTGGAATGTTTGTGGTTAATTTTCATGTTGTTGGTCGATTCTTAATGTTGGGGAAGTAACCGAGGCTGCAAGGTTGGTTCATAAGATTAGGATTTTGGAGAATCAACTGAATGTTATCACTTACAGCATAATAGGAGATGGATTGCGTAAGGTAGGGCAAACGGCGAGGTGTTGATTGATCCAACATCTTAAGTTGACCTGCTGCTAAGTTGAGCTGCAAGTTGGGTTTACTATTGGTGGAATTCGTTTTTAACTCAATATATATTGGAATCACCTTTGTTTGATGATCTAGAGAAGAATAAGTTTTTGTTTAGCTTAGAGGACTTTTCACAGTTTCTGGCTCATTGATATGCAAGATAGCTAATGTCAATATTCATTGTTGTTGGGGAAGTTTAGTTTTCAAGATTCCTCTTTTTGTTTCCTCAATTTGCTCACCATAATACCAATTTATGACTGCTCGAGGAAGCAATATGGGTGACATGATTGAGCATTACAAATGAAGAGGAAATATGGGGTAAGCATCACGAGAAATGATTCTCTGTGAGATTGGTTTTGCTCAATTGATTGAACAGGCACAATTTTCAGCTTTATGAGGGAATACTCTAAGCACCATAACAATTGAATACAGAGTTGCTGGCACTTAAGTTATGCCCTTTAAAATCCCCAACGGCCTACACATGTTTATTTGATTATCATTTTGCCAGTGAATGCATTGTTTGGTCGGACTCCTGGGTGGTTTGCAGTGGAACCATCAGTCTTTTGGACGATGTTAGGGGTTTGCAGTCATTGGAATAGGCTAGATGGAGATTGCTCCATGTGATCTGTTTATTATTTCATTGTTTGTGTCTTTTAAAATTGATGGTTAGGAATTTTTTAGGTCTGATCTCAGTTTTAGAACTTGGATACTCTAATTTTTCTTCTCATAGCTCCCTTGATGCTTCGCTTTCAAGTAATCATCTCTTGAATTTACTTATTTGTAGATGAACCATTGAACTGCCAGCAATGCTATAATGTGTAGGGTTGTTAAGAATTACTATTTTGAGCTATATGTAGGTAGGAGATGGAGTTGATGATTGATGCATGATGAATAATGTTTGGTCGTACACTTTATTAGCTTTCTAAGCATTTCCGCTGCTGTTTTCTTAGGATTCATCGGCCTGGAATTTCAAGAGAAGTGCTTTTTAGAACCGAGAAACTTACCATCAAGCTTCTTTCAGGGTCATCCACCGGCAAGAAGCATGAGGCGACTCGCCTGCCTCTTCCCAAACCGAGGAACGTGCAGCCGCCACTGACTGCAATTTCAGAACTTGAGATGCTGGTTTTTCTACCACCTATTGATGATCTTCACCTCATCTACAGCATGATTAGAGTGCATTTGCTTTAATAATTTCGATTAGTTTCTTTATTCGTATGTTAGATTCCTTAAAATTGGATTTAATGGTAATGGTTGGGATCCCTAATTTGCATATAGGTGTGTTATTGTTTTGGTTAAGTACAAAAGTGAACTTCAATGATTTAGTATGAGGGTGAATTGGTCAATTGGGAATTAGGATTGATCACTTCGATTTGTATGGTTACTTTGATGTTGGGTTTTAATTGAGCTTCAATGATTAAGCAGAAGAAGCTTCGTCGTTCTGAAATGTTGAATTGGTTTTTTCCCCTCTGTTTTTCCAAATCTTTTGTAACATACCATTATGATTTCGAATATTTGACTTAATTATTAGAAGAAAACATCAAATTAGTTAAGTTGTTAAATTGTGAAACTCAGTTTTGCGTTCTTAACTTGCATCTTTGTACTTATATCTTCATTTTATTGATATAAATTTTCATTAAAAAAATTTGTCTATATGCCAAAATGTACCCCTATACATTCCATGCGCTGCTATTGTAATGTAATCATCGATGTCATCATTCTTTGTGCATCAATGATAATGCTTGGTGTTGGTTGGCAAACCACACAGTTCTACATCCCATCAACACTAACGACACAAACCAAACGTACCCCGCGGCAGAGCGCGGGCTAATTCCTAGTATTAACTTAATCCTAACTCACCAAATCGCACATATCAAACTGGTCTCAAAAGCCTTATAGTGACGGTCATACAAGAATCATCAGTATATCAAAAAATATTTGAATAGTACGACAATCGAATAATAAGTAAAGATGTTTACTATATATAACTCGATATCGAATCAAGAAAAATGCTCATAAAAAATTAGAATCTAGTCATGGATCGATTGACCTCGGAGTTCTCTTATACGAGGAATATAGTTCAATCTTCTAAATTTCGATGCATGGTCTGGGGTCATTGATCATGATCCTCAACTTGTGGACATGTGTGTGACCGTAGTTGTTCGCGAGACGAGACAGTAGTGGTCCATCATTTAGCCTAATGTATGCATATGCCACCAAGGTTGTTTCAATTTGGTTTTGTACGTTACGCACAATCCATCCATGGCCTCCTAATCTACAAATGCTTCACTTCCTGATCAGTGGCTTAAATTCTCACATAAATAACCGACCCTACCCTTGCTATGACACCCTGTTTTGTCGTCGAATCATTTGTGTGGACCAAATATATGAATTTCAGTAGTGGTGGAAATCACCATGTGATGATCGAGACCGCTACCTGGCATAATAATCAACAGTATAATTTATAGCTGAAAAGTAAAACCGCCACCCCCATTCAAATTTTCCTGTCCATAGAGTGATTTTAGGAAGCTGATGTGGCAGGGTGTTGAGCGGGAAAAAAATAAAACTTCCCGCCAGAACTAAAAATCGTCCACTACCCACCTTTTTCTCCTGGTTTCCCACGTTATCATTTAGTTATTATTTATTTTTCATTTAATTTTTGTTTGGCTGAAATAAGCCCACATTTTCTACTGGGTTCCCACGTTATCCTTTCGCCTACCCGCAGGACAGGAGGAGAATCAGTTTCCATCGGAAAATTCTGGTAAGAGGGCGTCACGGTTTCGTATTCAGCGGAGGAAGGCGCTGACGGCCGGCTGTTGCTGAGTTCATGGGAAGACAACCAGACGTTTTGGTGGTCAGTGGCGGAAAGCAGTGACGGCCCGCTTCTGCTGCGACTGGGGAGATCGCGTTTGGGAGTGCAGCGAACGATCTCCGTGGCGAAGAGGTTGTCGACGATCGAGGCTTTCCCTTCCGGCGAGAAGCACAACTACTGCCGCCGCCACCACCGTCTCCCCCGCCGCCACGAACCCTGCTTCTTCTTTCTTCTCTGCTTCAGCCTCTAGAAGGTCGCTACAAATCGCTCCAGCTACTCGCATCCGTTGAGGAGCCATCGCCGCTGGGCTCGACGCAGCTGCTGCGGCCACCGCCGCCATCAGCGAAGCGCTCATCATCCCCTTCTTCTCCCACCCGCTGCCGTTGCTTCCGTTTCCTTCCGTCGAGCACTTCGCCACTCTCCCTCTCTTCGCCATCGACGGTAGCCCTGCATATCACCCAATCGATTCAATTTCTTGGTTCCCCCAAGCTGAATTGATAAAAGCCAGAGGTAATTGTGAATTTCAGGGGAGGGGGCGTCAAGAGTACTCACCGAGAACTGGGGCGGAGGAAACCCCTAGAGAGGGGTTGCGACGGAGAGATGCATGGATGAAGGAAGAAGTTGTGGTTGTGGCGGAGATGGACGCCATTTTGCACACTCTGACCCTGGGAAGGAAGGAATGAAGGGATTAGGATGGTAGCTGGTTCTGTGAGAAACTACTGGAAGTAGTGAGCTTTGCAGAGGTAAAATGGAGGAGGTGATATAATTTGCACAGCTTAATACTGACCATAGAATTTGCCCCCATCACAAAGTTCCATGCTAAGTTACTCTCCTTATTGGATCTTTTAGTTGTGTATAATTCTTGGTTTCGTGATATGGTATTGGAGATATGAGCAGGTGAGGTTTGGAACGGACCAGAGCATTAGCAGCAATTGGTTGTGAGATGGTATGTGTAAAATGGAATCATGGTAATTACTTGGTTCTGCTCATATAGGTAGGCTATATTTGAACCTCAAGGGAAGAATTCTCTTGCCACTTTTTAAGCTTTTTGTTTAGGTTTCCAACGTCAATGTGTGCCTGCTTTATGTCAACATAATCAAGTTTAATTGAAAGCAATACTTCCCACTTTGTTCACTCAATTTTTCTGTGTTTCACGGCTTTCTTATCTAACTTTTTTGTTTCTAAATTGCCTCTATTTTGGATATAACTTGCAGTTTAGGCTATGTAATCGACAACTAATGATTTAATCCATGACCTTCGGAAGAACGGTTTGAGTTTACATTTTCCTTATGTCATTAGTTCTTATAAGTAATTTGTTGAGTTCTTATGCTAATGTACAGTCTCTTTTTTCTTTTTTTCCTTTAGTAGTTTGGTCCAAGAAATCATGTGATCATTAATTTTTTCTTTAAGATCACTAGGTTCATCGATTTAGTTTGCCAATCAAGCATTTAACCTTCGTTTAGTTCCTAATTGAGAGCGTAAGATCAATTGTATAATAATAGTACATGCCTCCGATACTGTGTTAAGATGGAACTGAAATGAGTTTGATGTAATGTCTTTGTTTGGTCCACTTTTATTCAGTGTTCAAGAAGACGCGATTAATCTCTCGCCTAGGCGCGATTAATAGTTGGGCAGGAGGAAATCGCCCAGTCTAGCTCTGGGCGATTGATCTAGGCACCTGGGCACTCGGAGACGCGGTTTCACTTTGGTGGGCGACGCCCAGAACAACTAATAAAGGGGAAATTATAGCCTTTTTGTGAAAATCTCAAACCCTATTCCATTTCCCCTTTCCACCCACTCTGTAGCCTCCCCGAGAACCTGCCCAATCCTCCTGGAAGATTGATCAATCTGCACTCGCATTTGCCGGATTTGGTAGGCTAACTGGGTTGCCGGCGCCAATAGTCTCTCGAAGGCCCAGAGGTTTCTATTTTTCCATAGTTGCCAACAGAAAGTAGCGAAGAGGGATACGTCTATCGGTCTATGGTATTAATAGTCATCTTTATCACCTTGCTTTTCATTTTATTTGTTGCTTCTAATTATAATGATCAACAGATAAGTCAATAAAATATGTGATCGCGTTGACCTATCAATCAATTTGGAATTGTGCAAATTGTTGAAAATAAACACTATTTCAAGAGACATTGTTTTATGCAGGTATGACAGCTCCATTCTCTACTAGCAAAAGCAAAGTCGATCATTTGCCTGGAGGGAGGGAAACATCTTTGGGAATCTTCTTGAAATTCCCCGACTTTTATTGTTGATCATCTGACCTTCCAAAAATAGCAATGAGCATAATGTAATTGTCCATTTTTTTGCAAGAGGATAATAGATTACCAACTAATTCACTAATAATTCTTGAGCTTTACGGATGGTATTCTTTTTAATTAATTTTCTTTATTATAGTTATTTATTGTTGTAAATTTTCACTTCATAATGTTAGTATACGTGTAACTATAAACATAATTGTTGAAAGCGTACTAATATTTGTGGATACTCGAAACCTAATATGCTATGAAATAGGTGGCAGACACAAGGACTGTCGTAAATTTAGCATATGTTATACTATCGAGCTAAAAGCCGAGCACAAAGCTAAGAACAAATTTATGGGCACACAAATTTTTGACAAAAAAGTTTTTATTTGTTGGTGGTACATATTTGTTATAAATTTTTAGAATCTTTCAAATGACATAGTAGACAAATCTATAAGTGTTGACTTTTAGATATCAAAGGCAACACCGTACCAAAATCAATTATAAAAATCCATATTGATTTCCTAAAATCATGAATCTTTTTCAGAAACTTAATTTTCACAACAAATAATTGTATGTTTGAACTATAGAGTGCCTTATTTAATTAAAATTTTGAAGAAATAATTGGAATATTTCAGATATGTCCATTATAATACAATTGTACTATCCGTATACATTAATGTTAGCTATTAACAACCACAACTGCTTTTGGAGATATATATTATTTAAAAGTGAATTATTAGTTAATAATTTTGTATTTTCTCAAATAGTACCTAATGGTTGTCGACCATAAAATTTGAATCCTTTATTTGATAAGTTTTTATCCCTCCAAATTACTAATAGGGAAAATCCCTTAGGAGTTTATAATTAATACTTCAATGCTTAATTATTTTATTTTCATGGATATAATAGAAAAATAAGTGAATAATATAAAATTTTATGAAGAAATATTTTTTAAGTAATTTATTCTAACAATAGGAAGAGATTTTTTTCTTAAATGTAAAAAATATATAGACAACAGTAAGCGATAGCATGATCAATACAAATACTTATAAACTAACTAATGTTACAATCAATAATTCGCACAAATATTAGTTTCAACCCACTAACAAATTATTTAGACGATCCCAATATTAATATAAAAATATAATAAATAAAACTAAATTCATCCGACCAACGGGTCGGGTAAAAAGCTAGTATAATATATATATATATATACGTGGTGGAACCTTCAAATCGATTTAGATGTTTGTGAAACCACTAAAGATCAATCGATTAACAAACAGACATGGCCTTCAAACCAATGAGGCTCTGAATGGCCAAAGCCGGCCCCCCAACACGACGGAATGGGCCGACGCCCACGGCCCACCTGGTTGGCAGAGGCCAGAGAGAGGACGACTACAAAACAAGAAGCACAAGGGGAGAAGAGAACCTTGTCGATTATATTCTTCGAGGTTCCCATAATTTATCAACAGACATCCCATTTTCCTTTCTGCACGCGGGCCCATCTCGGAAAAATATATATCCATCTCCGAATACAGATTACCTGTTGCATGCACACGGGCCCAACTACTCGGGCCCGTACCATTACAAACGGAAAAATTTTGAATACAAAGAAAGCCCATCTGAAGAAAAGTTCGGTTAACATGGAACATCACAAAAGAGGCCCATTATTTACTTGGCCCAACGGGCTCTACTTCTCTCCACGCACGCGGACGACTCCCTCGTCATCCATTCGTCCCACGTCGTTGAAAGTTTGACCGGTCATTTGATCCGACGCCACCAGTCCACTCCCGCCCGGGTTTCCTCCACCGTCACCTCCTTCTCACTCCAAGGCCGCTCTTCCGGTCCCACCGCGCTTCCTGGCAGCCAAAGTCTCCTCCACCACGTCCCCTGGCTGAGTCAACTTGCTCCTGATCGAGTCACTGATGGTTCCAATCCCAGCCGCACCGTAAATAGTGTCCCTCGCCGCTCTTCCCCTGAAATTCCACAATCAATTACCATCTTCAACATTCTAATGCAGAAAGAAATCATAGACTCTAATCTTTCCCGCCAATACTTGATAACCAACCTCTCAGCCTCCTCCTTCCGGTGTTGATAGTCGGCCTTCTCAGCTTCATCCTGAAGCTTCAGCTCCTCCACTTTTCGCCTTGTCTCCTCCTCGGCCTCCCTCATTTTCTCCTGAATCGGTCAACCGTTTAATCAACATCACACAGTTAGTTAAATATACTGTAACAACAATAACAAAAATGATATGGAGCTTCTTTAACTAATTACCTTGGTTATTTGTGCGGTTTCTTCAGCCTTCTCCTTAACTTGCTCTTTCTTGCCAGACAAGAAATCCATAGCCGCCCTCGCCACATCCCCTAGCTTGCTTCCGGCAGTCTCCGACCCTTGCTTGGTCTCAATCGCCTTATCTGCTGCCTCGTTAGCCTTGTCGGCGGCAGTGTAGTCCTTGGCTTCCCTCGCTTTCTCAACCGTGTAGTCCTTGGTCTGCCCGGCTTTCTCGGCCGCATAATTCTTGTACTCCTCTGCCTTCCCCTTGGCTGCATCTTTAGTCTCCCCTGCCTTATTGGCAGCAAAATCAACATACTCCCCTGCTTTCTCCTTCACAACTTCCTTCTTATCTCTAGCCGTATCGATCACTTCTCCGGCCTTGGCCTTCTCACCTGCCATTTCGGCAGCAGAGTTAGTTTTCTCCGCCGCCTCCTGGCCCTTCCCTACCACAGCATCCTTAGCGTGTCCGACTGTGTCCGCAACCGCACGGAACATCGAGCTAATCACCCCCGGACGATCGTGATCGTCTCTGTCCAATGTCACCACCGGCGCCGTTCTACCCGAAGCGTAATCAGCATCCTTCGTCCGATCAGACACCTTATCCATGGTCTCCGCTGCCTTCCCCTTGGCCGCTTCTTTCGTATCTTCAGCCATCTCCGCCACTTCCCCAGCCTTCCCCTTCGCCGTATCTTTAGCTGACTCCATCTTCTGCCCAGCGGCGTCCTTCGTCTCCCTCGCCATCTCTCCCGCCGTCTCCGCAGCAGACTTCGTCTTCTCAGCTGCTTCATGGCCATTGCCCACCACGGCGTCCTTGCTGTGGCCGACAGTATCCGCCACCGCACGGAACATGGACCCGATCAATCCCGGCCGGTCCTGTGCCCCGGATCCTGGATTCTCATCTTTGTCCAATGCCGGGGGAACCTTGTTCGACTTAGCTCGCTCCTCGTATTCTCTCTGCCGGTTGACCCCCCTCAAATCGTAGGCCGCCTGCCACGCAGCAGCCTCCGCTCTCTCCATCTTCTCCTGGTCGGACGCCATATCTCTCTTCGATCTCCCGGGAAAATAAAATAAAATTACAGAACGATGTAAAAAGGCGTAAGATAATTTTTTGTTTTGTGCTTTGGATGTAAACGCCGGTTCGTATTTGCAATGGATTGGCTTCTTCCGTTCTTCGGTTTATAACGCTGGAGGATTTCAAGAACTGCAGTACTTGACACGCGTCGGTGGGAGTACGACGACTAGACACGTGGTCCTCTAGGAATTGCTGGCACCGCCGGGCGATTTAGGGATGAGAGCTGACTGGGGTTGTGGCGGTGAGTTTGGATGACGGGATGCGTAACGGCGCCACACGTGTCCTCCAACGTCGAGTTTAAAACTGGGTCGACTCGGTCAAAGCGAGCTGAACGCGTTGTTGAGAGTTTGGGTTCATGAGAGAGTTTTATCTGCTTTACTATTTTTTTTATTTTTTTTCTTTTGTTTGAAAATGGCAATTGCGTTCAAATGCATGGGTATACAACCTAATTCAACCCGACTAAAGCGACTTAAACCCGATTTTATAGGTTTTCGGTGGGAGCGAGTTTTATCTTTTTTTATAATTGGCAGGGCGGTATATGGTCACTTCTTCCAAGCGGGTTGTGAGATTCACAACCAAGGCTATTTTGGGCATGACAAAAAAAAACAAATTTATTAATTAATTTTTTGTATAAATTATAAATTGGGAATTAAAAGCCCATATTAAATACATGTTTTTTTAAGAATTTAAATCCTACAATAAACACAACTCTCTCTTTCTATCTCTATTTTCCTTTTCCAGCAGCCACTCTACTCTGACCGGCTAACTTTTAAATCGACAGACTTTCTCCGGAGAAATCCTTGAATCAGACTCGCTCCGGCCACCTGCAAAAATTATCACTCCGTTAGTGCGCTAGTGGTACGCGTACCAGTACCATTTGGTACCAGTCCAGGGCTAGTAGTAGCGTACCAATACCATTTGGTACTAGTACCATCTGGTACCTGGTAGTGGTAGCGTACCACTATCATTTGGTACCATTACCATTTGGTACATGGTAGTGGTAGCGTACCACTAACACTACTATTACGCAAAAACTATCACTAGTCACTAGTACGTACCAGTGAGCAGCGGTAGCATACCAGTAGTGCTATTAGTGGTAGTGGTACGCTACCACTACCATTGGTAGCGTACCACTACCATATATTATTATTTTTTTAGAAAACACAATTTTCTTTCATTTATATAATTATAAAAAAAATTGAAAAATATTATTATCTAATGTGAAATAAATCTAATGTGATCCATTTTAAATATTTTTTTATTTTTAGAATTTGTCTTGATATTTTATGTTAGAAATTGAAAAATATTATCATTTAATGTGAAATAAATCTAACGTGATCCATTTTAAATATTTTTTTTTGTTTTTAGAATTTGTATTGATATTTTATGTTAGAAATCTTTTTTAGTCATTTTCCATTACTTCTTATATTAGAAAGACACTCTGATAGTTTTTCAGCTAAACACTCGACAGTTTTTTTAAAATACTTTTTGAAAAGATCCCGAAAAACTGCTTCATTCTACAAAAGTTATGATATGATCAACTTCTAGTCATACAAGTACAACAATGCTTTGATTGTTCATGAACTCCCTATTGAGTCTGACCATTGCCCACTACGTCTGGAATTTGAAGGGATTCGTAATTGTAAAAGGACTCCGTTCCGGTTTGATACCCGTTGGTTTCAGAAAGAGGAGTGCTTTGAGATTGTGAACCGTATTTGGGATAGTGGAGGCTTCTGTCATGACAGGTTACATAATTGCAAGAAGGAACTTTCTAAGTGGGCTAAACAAATGTTCAAAGATCAAAATAGAAGGGCTGATGAGATTCAAAAGAGGTTGAGTGATATTCTGCAGCTGGATAGGACCGAGGAAATAGTTGAAGAAGAAAGAGGACTTTTGGATGAACTTGCTACAATTTGGAAAGATGACGAGTTGTTTTGGAGTCAAAGAGCTAGTGTTGAGTGGCTTAAAGTGGGGGACCAGAACAATAAATTTTTTCATGCTTCTACTTCTCTTCGGAAGCATAGAAATAAGATTTCATCTCTCAAGGATGAAGATGGAAATGTGATTTCTCAGCCTATTGCACTGTCTGATCATGTTACTGGCTTTTATCAGTCCCTGTTTAAGAAGAAAGAGGGTATCAATTTTGAGGCTCTTCAGGACCTTCCGAGAATGGTTTCCAATGAGATGAATCTTGACCTGGAAAGGGAGCCGACTGTGGAGGAGATTCGTATTGCGGTTTTCGACCTTGGTCCTTCAAAGGCACCAGGGCCCGATGGGTTTGCTGGTTCCTTTTATCGCAAGTTCTGGAGCAAAGTCGGTCCGGATTTCTGTAATGAAGTGATTCGTTTCTTCAGAACCTCTGTTATGCCACAAGGGTGGAATGACACTCACATTGCCCTTATCCCTAAGGTTCTTTCTCCAGAGACGATCACTCAATACCGACCCATTAGCTGCTGCAACTTTCGATACAAAATTATTTCAAAGATTATTTCTTCTCGTATGAAGAAATGGCTGCCTGGGCTTGTATCTGAAATGCAAGCAGCGTTTACAGGAGGGAGGCTTATTCAAGATAATGTTATTATTGTCCATGAGATGCTGCATAATTTCAAGAATCGCCGATATGGTGACTGGGACATGATGGTTAAGTTGGATATGCGGAAAGCTTATGACCTTGTCGATTGGGATGGGCTGGACTTTGTTCTTAAGGCTTATGGTTTTTCGGATAAGTGGCGCGGATGGATTCAAGAATGTATCAGGACAGTCAAGTTTTCCATTCTTCTTAATGGAAGCCCTACTGATTCTTTCTCCCCGTCCCGCGGCATTAGACAAGGTGATCCCATCTCTCCTTTTCTGTTTATCCTTATGACTAATGCATTATCTTTCTTGATTGAAAAAGGGGTCTCTCGTGGTGAGATTAGAGGCATTAAGCTCAACCAAAACTGCCCAAGAATCTCTCATTGCCTGTTTGCGGATGACACAGTCATCTTCGACAAAGCTAGTGTTTTGGAAGCTGATCGAATTATGGATATCATCAAGATTTATGGAGATGCTACTGGACAAGAAATCAATGCCTCTAAGTCTTCTATTTTTTTCAGCAAGAATACACCCAATGGGATTCGATCTTTGGTGAGTGATCAATTCGGTTTCCCACCTTCGATTTGCCACGACAAGTACCTGGGAGTTCCATCTGAATGGGGTCGATCTAAAAAAGAAACCTTTCTCTTCCTTCTGGAACGTATGAAAAAACAAGGTGAATCTTGGAAGAGTCTCATGTTATCCCCCGGAGGCAAAGAAGTTTTACTGAAAGCAGTGATCCAAGCTCTACCGACCTACATCATGAGTATCTTCTTGCTTCCTCTGAACTTAACAAACAAAATGGACTCGATTCTGAAACGTTTCTTCTGGTCGGGGTCTATGAAAAGAAAGGCGATTCATTGGTGTGATGCAAGGGTGCTGGAAAAACCTAAGAATGAAGGAGGTTTGGGGTTCAAGAACTTCCACCCTTTCAACCTTGTGCTGATTGGGAAACAGGTGTGGCGCCTTCTCGATAATCCGGAAGCCATGTGGGCTAAGCTCTTGAAGGGACTTTATTTTCCCAATGGGGACTTGCTTTCGGCGGTTAAAGGAAGAAAGAGCTCATGGATTTGGAACGGCTTGTGTGAAGCCAAGGAGCATATGAAGGCGGGCCTGTTGAAAGGAATTATGTCAGGAGAGGATTCTTTGTTCCATTGTGACCCTTGGGTGCCTTCCATTCAAAATTTTAGCTTAGCACATCTGGAGTTGGAACCGTCACGTGTTAGTGATTGGATTGATCAAAGTAATCGCAGCTGGAACATGAATGCAATCAGGAACCTTGTGCCTGATGAGATTGCCCAAGCCATTGCTCGAGTTCCAATTGGTCCTTGCTCCTCACATGATTGGTGGATTTGGAGGCTTACGGAATCTGGTTGTTACAGTGTGAAGTCTGCCTACCGGTTGTTTCGTGAAGCGAGAGATTCTCCCCCTTCAAATGTAGAGGTCCCATCTGCAAGACCCAACAAGGACGATTGGAAGTGGCTCTGGGACCTCAAACTGCCCCCTAAACTCCGGTTTTTTGTGTGGAAGTGTGGTAAGAATGCAATGGCAACACGGGCGAGGTTGTTTGAACGCAAGTGTGCTCCCTCTCCTCTGTGCCCGCTGTGTGAAGAGAATGTTGAGACTGTTATGCACTGCTTATTCCACTGCTCCAAGACAAGTGAGACTTGGGCTCGGATTGGCTTGGAGGATTCTGTCCCTCCTGCGGATTCCAGGTTTGCGGATTGGTTCTTTTCTCTCAGGGATCGGTCATCTTCTGACCGGATTTGCAAGTTTGTGTGTACGATGTGGAATGTCTGGATTGCTCGTAATGGAATGGTGTTTGAAGGGAAGGTGTTCTCCCCGCCTACTGTGGCAATTCTTGCTGATCGAGATTCTCAAAAGGTTAAGGAAGCGTGGACTACGGGCACGGTTTCCAATTCAGCCGGATCAGTCGGTTTGCCGTCTCAGCTTGGGAGTTCTCGTTCGACGACCTTATCACCGCCTGGTCCTTATAGTAAGGTTGTGCATTGTGATGGTTCCTTTGTCTCTGATGCACAGGTGGCGGCTTATGGGATTGCTATTGCTAATTCCCACGGTCAGGTTATTGACGGGAAAGCTGAGAGATTCTTTTGTTCTTCTCCGATACAAGCGGAAGCTGTTGCAATTCTTAATGCAGTTATCTTGGCAGCCTTGGATCCAGTCCCAACGTGTGTCCGTTCTGATTGCCAGAGGTTGACGATTGCGTTGAAACAGGATCCGAGTCTTTGGCCTTGGCAATGCCGGGCAACTCTTGCCCGGATTGCTTCCATTCTCTGTGTCTCTCCTTGGATCGTGGTTGAGTTTGTTCCCCGTCGTTTCAATGCCTTTGCGGATTGGATTGCGAGAAACGCTCGTCTTGATCAACTTCCTCCTGAATGGATTGTCATTGCTGACCTTGTCGCTCCATTATTGTAATTGTATTGTTTCCCACTTGTGTGGGTTTGGAATGAAATGATGATTGTTTGTCAAAAAAAAAAAAAACTTCTAGTCATACAAATTGAAACGTTAGCGTCATTAAAGAAGTTTAAACATAAATAATCTATTCGACGATCCTTTTACCTTATGCAAGTTTATCGACCATATGCATTGTAAATAACAAACCTATGGAAAGAATTATTAGGAATGAAATAAGATTACTTTCACTTTTGGATCAACATTAAAACTATTATTGTTTAAAATATTTATTTTCTACTTTTGGATCAACATTAAAACTATTAGAAAATACGCGAAGCGATAGCATTTTGCTAGTTTACTAGTTATAACTAATAAAATACACTCTTAATAGACGAGAAGTGTGTGCCACTGTGGCTTACAACACACCCTCGTTAGGTCACATTGCTATGCAGAGAATACGAGTATTAAATCGTACTGCTTCGTTGAAGCCTTTGATTTTGAATTCCAAGACTAGAACACACGACTATGATGTTGTATTGATACCTTGGTTGCATATAAACTTTCACAATGATCAATAGAACAATGCTTGAAGCAATACTACATAACTCATGATACATTATGCTTCCATTCTTTCACCAAATTAACATTTACACTTTCTACATAGAAACCAAAATCCTGATAAGAAGACGATCGAATTCATTCTCATCATCTGGTGATAGCGAATTCGCCACCCTGGATCCTCACATTCAACCTCCTCAACCAAATCGAATGCAATATCATGTGGAAAACATCGTACCGCCTCGGCGGCGAATTCACCTCGAAGTGCTTCCTCACCTGCAGCACCCTCCTCTGCATCCTTATATACTGCCTGGACGATATCCCTTCCAGTATCCTCTTCAGATTCGGTATCTCTCCCACCGGAACCTCCACCGAGAACGACTTCCAGTTCAGCACATCACTAAATGGCGGGACGTAGTGGTCCGAGATTAGTACCGGAACGCAGCCAGCGTAGATCGCCTCAACGACTCGAGGGCTGGCAACCTCGTACCCGCTGGGGCAGAGGCAGAACTTGCTCTGCCTCATCATGTCGTAGTATGAGATGCCCTTGGGGAGGTACTGGTGGACTCGGATGTCGGGGTCCTTGTTGTTCTCCCAGTGGTTGAGAAGAAGGGGGCGAATGGGACCGTGGACACCTCCAGCAAAGAAGGCAAGGATGGAACGTTTTGAAGGAGAGGGGCCTCCGATGAAGCCGTTGGTAGTCCCAGTTCGCAGGTTGATCTCCGGGAAGGACACATCCTTGACGGGATTGAATCGCTCGGAGGTGTTGGCGTTACATAGTGCGCGGATCGAGTTCTTGCCGAGGAGTGGAACTGAGAATGATGTCTCCGGCCCCTGCAAATTGATCGGAATCTCAGATTGGTACTGTTTGAAAATTGAGCACTTGGAGCTCATCAAGAAAAATGAAAGCCTTAGTTAGTACGTATCATCTGTTTCAAGGTCTAATAGTAAAGGCACTGACTGACCCAATCGTGACAGGCGAGCATGAAATGATCGGCGCCAAGGCTTCGATTCCAGTAAGGGTACTTCTCCGCGACACGGTCTACATAGTCGGTCACAGTCCTCCTAATGGGACCAAAGTCGTGGGAGTCCCGTATGTAGACGAACTGAACCAACATGGCGACGCTGAATGGAAGGAAGAAGACATGGGCCTTCTCGGGGTCTCTGGTACGAAACTGAGGGTCGATCTCCATTCTGTGGATGAAGTTCCCTTCCATGGAGTAAATGCTCTTGCAAGGACCGTTGTGAAACACAGGAGGCTCCCCTTCTTCATAAACAAATACCTTGAACTGCTTCTCCATCTCTCTGTAGCTCCTGTACGTAATGAAACAACCACTGATTGAAGTCATTAATCTGTTTGGTTATCGTTATTAATGGAGATTAATTTAATTATGATGGTGATTTTATAGCTAGGATACCTGTGGAAAGCTCCGGCGTTCCAATACATAGGGCCAGCGGGGACATAGTCAGAATCCTCAAGGGTTTGGTTTCCATATTTGGCCTCCTTGATTGCAAGACGAGCCTGTTGTAGGCCAGCTTCCACCTTGTCTAAATTGGTAATCTCCTTCCGCCGCCTCTTCCCCAACTGGAGATCCAGAGTTCCGTTCACGGCTTCAGAGTCCGGACCCGGCGCCGGGGAAGCCGCCGGACCGGAGGCTGTCAAGAATTCCAAATCCACGTCTTCGTCCTCTGTTCCGTTCTGTAACAAATTATAATTGCAGCGAGCGGTCAAAATCTCAATTCATTTAACTGCAGCCAGGGGATCAAATCACAAGGAAGAAAGGGAAAGAGAGAAAGAAATCAAGACACTTGACGTTTCCAAGACAAATAACAAAACAACAGTCTTGGCTTGGCTTGGCTTGGCTTGGTTTGCCATGAGAAGACGTTTAGACTAGGCTTCCTTCTTGTCTCCCACAACAAAAAGAAACGTTTCTTTCTTTAACGGACGCCGTGGGGGGGAAAACAGGGTAGGAGGGAAGAAGGCCTGGGCTGGGACTGGGAGTATCAGTTAGAGTAATGGAATGGAACAGTACATGCAAAACTTGGATGAAAGCAAGCATCGAATACGAACGTTTCTTGAGACCCAAAACCATCAATTCGAGAGTAATTAAAAAAAAAAAAACCCTCCACCTCTAGGCTCTAGAAAGTAGAAAGTGTGTTCAGATTAATTATTCCTTTGCATGGATGAACAACGGAAACAGAGAGATCCAAAATCAGCTTAGTGAAAGAAAAAGAAGAGAGAAAAAAGGGGTCTAGAAGTGACTACTCACCGATGGTTGTTGGACCTGGAAATCAAGAACCTCGAGGACGGAAACCGGCGGGGAAGATGACCGATTGAGGAGAGGTAACTCGTCGGAGATTGCTTTCTTCTCTTCCACGCTCTGCCCTCCGCCGCTGACAACCACCATCCCTCCTCCCCTGCTACTAGCGGTCTCATTGGCAGGGGAAGAAGCTGAAGCTGAAGCTGAAGCTGACAAGAAGTGCAAGGCGGGGAGGGTGGGGCCGAAATTGGAGACCAGGCCGGAGACCAGAATCAAGGGGACCAAAACCCACAGCAGTCTCGTTGAGTTGGATGAACAGGAAGAAGAAGAAGAAGAGAGCCTACATGCAGAGCTGCAGAACCTCTTCACCTCCTCTCTCATTCTTTTGGACCGTTTCTTTTTCTCTCGCTTTGGAAGTTAGTTAAGTCTAGCAAGTCGAGAGCAGCTATAGCTAGATTCGAACTCGAAAGAAGGCCATAGAATAGAATAGAATAGAATAGAATAGATTAAAGAAGAGAGAAGAAAGAAGAAGGGATGGAGGCGAGGAGGGGTGACGACGGTGAACAATTGGTTTGGTTTGGTTTGGTAGAGAATGGTTACTTACATTACATTACACCCGCCAAGCGTCGGCCTCTGTATTGCGGTGTCTCTGCCTCTCTCTATATGCGTGTCCCTCATGCAGCTCAATTTTCCTTTCCCCCCACTCTCTTCCTGGCCGCCTCCCTTAATTTCCAATATTGCCCCTTTCGGAATTGGAAGAACAAACAAACAAATTTAGGAAAAGTCTAATTCACTATTTTGAAGGATTAAAGAAAAAAAAAAGTGCATTATTTTATCTGGGTGTCAATTTCAATCTTGTTGGGACTAATGATACCTTTACAAGTATCATGCATGATCCTAACAAATACTTTGCAAAATACCAACTTGTTCGTTAAATCACAAATTATTATTGTTTAGAAGTTTGTTTTTAATTTTTGAATCTCACTTTATTTTTATTTTTTTTAATTGAATCTGCATGCATAATATACAAGCTGTGGCTATTGTATTGTGGACGTCTGGCCCTAGGATATACCTAAAATTGGCGTGTAATTCATAGAGTAATAATCACTTCACTGGGGTTTAACTATAACGGGAGTAAATTAAATAGTAAATGGGAATTGCAGTCACCTACCATTCACTACAGCAAACATTTATTTTTGGGGGAGTTTGATTGGGTGAAGATTCGATGCAGGTTAATTCTCGTTAGTGCTTCACACAGCTGGCCTGGATGTGGCCAAAATTATATATTTGGGAAAATTTCAATTCCGTTGTGGAAATGATATCATCATTCATCACATGCAAAGGGCCGAAATTCCAAAGACAACGTACGTAATGAGGCAGAGCCGTGTGTACAATAAGTAGGGATGGCAATGGGTCGGGTCGGGGACGGATAGTGAATATCTGTTACCCTACCCAAAGTAGTTCGGATTTTACCCATACCCATACCCACATAAGAAAACGGGTAGAAAATCCAAACCATGCCCATGCCCGTTCGGGTTTCGGGTATCCACGGTTATCCATGGGTAATAGTTTTTCTTTATAACTCTAACCAATATGTTAATATTCACACGTATTCTCACGTTACGTAAGACGAAAAGTATGACAAATGATTCACTAGAATGAAGAAATTTAATTAAACCAACACAATGTCATGAAAATATTATATTTATATGCTAGATATAAAATATATTAGAGAAAAATATTGATTATTTATAGAAAAAATATATTGGAATGTTTATAATCGGGCGGGTTAGGGTTGGATAGTGAGAAAACCATGCCCACCCATTACCCGCAATATTCGGTTTCGGGTTTTACCCGTACCCACTAAAAGTCTTTCGGGTTCGGGTTTTACCCTACCCGATTAGGTCGGATTCGGTCGGATATCTATGGTTACGGATATTTTTGCCATCCCTAACAATAAGCACCCCTTCCTAATAATCAATGCCCCTAAAATTGAATTGAATTGAATTGAATTGAAGGCCACCGTGTTCTCCCTTCTCCATATATCCGATCCCATCCATCGGTTTAATATACTTTGGGTAAATTGTATCTCTCTCTCATCACGCATTGTAAAACAACAACAACGGCTTGTTTCTCTTGTGAGTTTAATATTATGTATGTATATGTTTGAATCTGATGTGTTTAATAAATATGGTTATCAAATTCAAAATAAAACATCACACATAAAGTTTTGATATCATGTTAATAACTCTGATAGGGTATATTAGTAACCCCCAAGGCAAAGCTCTAACTAATGGTATAAAGAAGGAAAGAAGACAAGAGGAAAAAGACAAGTCTGGAAAGCAGGAGACAAGCCCAGGCACCTGACGTCAGCAAGGACAAGGGGCAGGGGGACACCCCCTGCCAAAAGGACTATGAACAGTGTCAGAGAGTCTGAGGCGCCCGACCAGAGCATTTATGGCTTGGCAGGCGCCCAGACCACTACCTAACCCTCAATTGTGTATAAATAGGAGTTCTCTCCTCATAAATAAGATCTATCTACTCTTTACTCTAATTTCTCTCTACTTTCCCTCTCTACATACTTCTTCTTTTCTTCTGCTTCGGACGAGGAGGGGCGCCTACCCTTTCAAGGTCATGGCTGACACCCCAAACCCCTTGGACCCGAGCGACCCCCAGTCGATCGGGCTCAAACAATTGGCGCCCACCTTGGGGCCAAGCATGACTTTGAAAGACGCTTCCAACTCAAAGAAGGGGGAGGAAAGGAGCCCGACGCCTACAAAGACGCCACTCAAGCAAGTTGTTGGTCGTGAAGCAATCAACCCTCAGCCACTCACCATTCAAGGCTTGGAAGCATCCGACGACGAGGATCCATCGGGGAACGGAGAAGGCGCGGGGCGCATGGAGGACCAACTAGCAAAACTCCGGGAAAAGCAAGCACTTCAAATGGCGAGCATGCAAGGCCAACTAGACCAAGTCATGACCGCATTGACGGCGCTCACCAAAGGTAATGACCAGGCGCCTCCCAACTCACAAGAAGCCATGGAAGAGAGGAGGCGCCTCCGAGGAAAAATGCTGGAAGCAGAGGCGCCTCCCATGAACTCCCCAAGGGAGGGTGTAGGCGCCTCGCCAAATGAGGATGCAATGGAAGCAGACGACGATGTCTACCTGGAAAAGTACGCCCGACTCAACTATGGCGCCTTGGAGGAAAGAAGTTCTCAAATCATTAGACAACCATTGTCAAAAGGAGTGCTCGAGACACCAATCCCACCAAATTTCGCAAGCATCGGTCTACCATCATATGAAGGAAAGTCTGATCCAGAGGATCACTTGAGTGCGTTCTGCCGTAAAATGCAACTTCTCAACGCGTCCGACGCCGCCTTGTGCAAGGCATTCCCCTCAACCTTCACCGGAGCGTGCAGTAGTTGGTACTCGTCGCTTCCGGAGGGCATCATTCAGAGCTTCGCTCAATTCGCATTGCTATTCACAACAAAGTATGCAAGCCAGAAGAGGCAGACGCTGACAGTCCGGGCACTTGTCAACCTTAAGCAAAGAAAGGGAGAGAGCCTCAGGCACTTCATGGGGCGCTGGTGGGAGGTTGCGTCCGATGTTAAAGACCTAACCCCTCCACTCATGCGTACCAACCTAATGGACGCCAGCACTAACGAAGAGCTAAGGCGCTCTCTGGCCAAAAGGGAGATAAGACAGGTGGCCGAGCTGGAGGAAAAAATTCAAAAAGCAATTCTCATGGAGGAGGCGCTAGGGTCAAAGGAGGAAGAGCAGGGAGGTAGCTCTAGGCGCCCAGCTCAGAGTGGGAGGGGCGAGGCGCCTAGGACCAGAAGGCGGAGTCCTGATCGACGGGATGATACCCGACGTCCCAATGTCTGGGTAAGAAGAGACGTTCTCGCAAATTCACAAGAGCCTCGCCGCGACCGCACCAATCGCGAGAACGTGAACCAATCTCGTGGGCAGGCGAACATGTACTGTGAGTACCACAACTCGCGCACTCACAACACCGTCGACTGCCACTACTTCAAAAAGGCGCTCAAGATAATCTCCGATCGAGGAGGGGTAAGGGAGATGATCCAAAAGGCAGATCAGGGAAACCAATCCCCGCGGGAACGCAGTCGCTCCCCAGTCGCCAGGCCACCAGTACAGGAGCGCCTAGGCCCCAACCCGAACGTCAAGGAGATAAGAACCATCGCGGGAGGGGAGCCTAGCCGAAAGAAGAAGCGCAAGGGGCAAGCAAACGACACATGGTGTATGAAGATCGCAAAACAGGATGGTCCCGACCTGTCGTTTACATCACAAGACTATCCTCCAGAGGGCCCATCTGAAAGCCCTCTCGTCATCAACATACAAGTAGAAGGTTTCAAGGTGTTCAGAGTGCTGGTGGATAGTGGGAGTTCCGCCGACATACTCTTCTATTCTTGTTGGCGCCAAATGCAGACACCCCCTTAGGTGATGCAAGCTTCAGAGGCCCAACTTGTCGGCTTCTCCGGAGCGAAAGTAAAGGTGTTAGGAACGGCGCGCCTAAAAGTCAAGGTAGGAGATGAGGAGCCAAGTGCTACACATCCAGTGGACTTCCACATTGCCGATTGCCCGTCCGCATATAATGCCATTCTGGGAAGGCCTTTCCTAGCTAAGTTTGGAGCTGTAGCCTCAACCTGTCATCAAGCAATGAAATTCCAAACACCCCAAGGAATGGGAATAGCCAGAGGAGATGTGAAGGCAGCAAAGGCGTGCTATGCAGCAACCCTACACAAGCCAAAAATACACACGATTGATGCCAGGCCAACAGAAGTGCCGCGACCAGGAGCGGTAGATTCAGAAATTGAGCTGCCACTAGACCCCGATGACCCAAGCCGAGTCGTCCGACTCTCAGCCCATTTACCGGAGCACATGCGCCTCCCAATGATCAACTTGTTACGGGAATACTCAGACTTGTTTGCTTGGAGTCCTGAAGACATGCCAGGAGTTTCCAGAGACCTTATGGAACATAAGCTCTCCGTGAAACCAGAAAGTGTGCCAGTACAGCAAAAAAGAAGGGGAGCATCGTTGGCAAGGAGGGTGGCCATGATGGAAGAGGTACAAAAGTTACTTAAGGCAGGATTCATCCGAGAGGTGCAGTACCCGAAGTGGTTGGCAAACACAGTGTTAGTCAAGAAACACAACGAGACATGGAGAATGTGTATTGACTTCACCTCGCTAAACAAAGCATGCCCGAAAGACCCATACCCCTTACCAAGAATTGACCAGCTGGTCGATGCCACCTCCAATCACGAAATGTTAAGCTTTCTCGACATGTTTTCAGGGTACCACCAAATCCCTCTCAGCGAAGAAGATCAAGAGAAAACGGCTTTCATGACCCCGTACGGGAACTACTGCTATGTAGTGATGCCATTTGGTCTGAAAAACGCGGGTGCCACCTATCAGAGGATGGTAGACAAAGTATTTGGAGAGCAGATAGGACGAAATGTGGAGGCGTACGTAGACGATGTGTTAATCAAGAGCAAGAAAGAGGGTGACCATCTGAGCGACCTCAGGGAGACGTTCGAGAACCTGAGGCGTCACAATCTGAAGCTTAACCCCCTCAAGTGTGTATTCGGAGCAGGTGCGGGTCA